TTAGTTTTCTATTTTTTGTGTTATTAAGTACAAAATTGCAACGCTTTTAAATCCAAAACTCTAGAAGACTCCACAGGGCAATTTAGAAAATGTTCAGGTAGTAAATCCCAGGCTGGAATCTCGACACTTTTTATAACATAATAATTTTGAAGCGTAATTTATGAAATCAGTGAACAAGGGCGTGACCCGGGTCTTAATTGGATACGTATTTCGCTTTTTCAACACCCAAACAGCTCACAATCACGTACGAGTGATAATATTTCTGATTAATGGTGGACGTTCGCCAGGATTTATTTAGAGATATTGATCATATCACTCGCTTTCGTTTCGCTATATGCGATCTTTAATAAAAATATTTTATGGGCCCATTCTATTTATTCTTTTGGAATATAAAAGTAGCAATGTATGGCTAACAACAGGTTGTGTTCGATCAGGTGCTGGATTCGGTTGGGGTCCAGAATGCTTCTAATCAATTTACATTCATTGATATTAAATGACCCACTACCAGATTGAAAACCCTCTGTGGCACATGGGGAAAATACATTTTCGTGTCACTATACGGACGATTTGTTTCGTTCGGCATTTAAACTGAAAATTCGTAGAGAATACCTATATTATATAAGTACCAACTAAGATAAATGTGCCATGCTATGCTATATAAAGCTATGCTAACCAATATTAAGTTACTTAAAATAAGAAACGTAATGACATTATTCCCTTTATAAGACATCAGCTCCACGCTGATCTAGCAACTAGGAGTAAAACTTCGTGCACGACCGATCCGCGCAAAAACCCGAGAAAAATTTCGCGTTCTACCATTCGAAGATTCCATTAATTTCTTTTATCACAATAAAAAGATAAATTGCATCTTCTTTTGCGATGGTTCCGATGGCCTCGAACGGGTCAGTGACTCGCAATGATCAATCGGGGATCTACAAAAACCTTGTTGCTGGAACGCCGTTTGCGCCTTGCAGTCTTTGCATGACAAGTTTTTCCGCTGTTCGAGAAAATGGCTACGTTTTACAACGGTCTTGAACTGAGAGTAATGAGGCTTAGATCTTCTAGGAATGCATGTTAAATTGTTGTCACTTCCAGATGCTATAGTTTGTGGTTGCTTGCCGTAGACGAACGAAGCTCTATTATATTATACTATTAAACTTAGCTAAGTTAGCTTTGTTAGTAATACTTAGATACTAGGGGAAGACTATGTTAGATTTTTTATTTTATCACACACAGATTACGAAAATTGATTTAAAATTTGAGTTTTCATTTCTATAGAAGGTAAATATTTGAAAACTTTAATGTTTTTCACATGCTGGCACTTTAAAAATTAAAAATCGATTACAAATTTTTAAAAATTACGATTTTAAATTGATAAATCGATTGGTTAGAGCAACACGGAACGCTGAGAATGCCGGTTCAATTCCTGCTCGAGCCGTAATTTTTTTCAGTTTATAATCGATTATTAATTTAGATAAATATTTTTGACGCATTAATAAAAGGCCAACATCAATTCATTATTGACTGATCTTTTTATGAAGTAAAATTGTAAACCATTTTTCGCAGTTGGTTTATAAGCGGGAAATTATAATATCGATTTGATATTTACAACTTGAACGCCGCCATCTTGAACGTAAGAATTTAAAAAAGAATCAAGAGCGTGCTTGAATGTGGAAATCTCATTTTATATTCATAGGGTGGAGTCGAATTGTCCGTGGATAATTATTTTGGCACAAGTTTTGCCATTAAATAACCGTCTAGCCCCGCGTAATACAATTATACGTCTAAGTAACAAAATATTGTACCTAACTGGCACCCGCGACTTGGTTGCGTAGATTTTTAATTTGTTCGCTTCAAGTAAAACTTGGCTTAATCATATAATTTTTTTTCAAGTGTTGACATTTTTAAATAAAATACTTTAACGGTTTAAAACGTGATATATATTAAATTTATTTTAACTACCCGTGACCCGACGTTTCGGATACTTTCCAGCAGTCGTGGTCACGGGGAGACTAAAGATGGAGGGTGTCTCTGACGTCAAAGTAAAGACTACTACACTAGAGCCATCTGTCAAATTAAAGATTAACGAATTGAGAACAGCGTTTTGAAAAAAATATCATGAATGTAGGTACCGTTTGTTTTTAGTGATTAACACTTGTTTTAAGATATATTTGTAAATTATATAGAAAATTTGATGTATTCATAAAGTTAGCCAGATCGAACTGAATTTTTATCATACTCACAGATTGATAGCAATTGAATAATACCAGACTAAAAGTTGGCACAGCAAGCCAGTGAATCACCAAATCGATTTGTCGTAAACAAACTTGGCGCGTAAATCTAAGTACTTTTACGGGCTAATGGTCACGTATTTGTGGATAATCCATTTCGTTGACATGCGGAATTCTCGAAGGGAAATCTACTTTTACAACTTTGTTATCTGTTAGAAGCATATCGGCAATTTGTACAATATAGATAACTGCAGTTTCGTTAGTTATATGAACGAATTGACTAAGTTATAGAACTCCTTATTACGAAGTTTAAAGTTACAGTTACTTTTTAAAACGTACATACTAATATCAATAGGTTGAAAGAATTCGACGATGACGCGTAGGACAGTTAACTCGGTTGGTTAGAGCAACAGCGCGGAACGCAGTGGATGCCCGTTCAAGGCCTGCTCGTGTCGTATTTTTTTATCAATTTAAAATCGATTTTTGCTTCTAACTCTTCATAATATATATCTCTATGTTATACTATCTGTCTATAATTTATGTTACTTTTGCAATAAACTAAAAATAATGAGATAATTGAGGGAATGAAATAATATTCCAAATAAGTAAACAATACGCCAAATTTCTGGCGAAACAATACAAATGCGCGATAATTGTTGATAAGGCTGTACGATACATTTAAAGATGACTTACATCCGAAATTAATGTTAATAGATATATTTTACTTATTGAAAAATTAAATTTAAAAGTAAAGTGCATGCCTTTTAGCAGTTACGGTGTTAATATACGCCGCTACGTGAATCTAACCCGAACACGAAGGACATAAAAGTTTTACGTACGATCTGCGTCGTAATTTTCACGTTGATCGTAAAGAGGCGCGCTCGAAGCGCCGCCATTTTGGAAAATGGCGCATTTTGGCGGGAAACCCTTGAGAGCGGTTATTCGTACAGTAGAAATGGTATAAGAAACAAAAATTTTATGTATCGTGTCTATGCTATAGGCTCTCATTGAATTGAACATTATAATCTGCAATATTATATATTTTTACGAAAATGTGAATAAAAGAATTAATGAAAAGATATTTGTTTAATAATAAAACATAATTCCGTAGAAAGATGTTGTTTTAAAAGGCTATCTTTAAATACGCTATGTATCGTGTATATATGTTATAAATTTTAGAAGATACCGCGGAACTGATATTATCTTACGAAAAGTAATTGACGCTCCATCAATGTTGTGATTTGTAAATTATCACTCCAACGGCAAAAGGAGCTTCTCAAACTCCAGGGGTTCTACCATAACTGACAGGAATTAAAGGGGAACTTGATTTTGTAACTTGACAGCATGCAGACTTGAATCGGTATAAATTAAATAACAATATTTTGTAACTATTAGAAAAATAATGTGTCATGTTGTACGTAATATCTACTATGACGATTAAAATTGTGAATGCACCCTATATGAGGCTGCTAGAGGCCTAATAACAAAAAACATGATTTTTAATAAAGATGAATATAAAAACGCACAATTAACTTAGGTGAAAATGAATTTATCCTATTATTTGTGTAAAAATAATGTTAACAATTTTCGGTCACTGTATCGGTCTTGTACATTTTTAAATCATATAAATATTAATAAGCCAAGTCATAAAATGGCAATTAGGCTACTATGCCTATAGCGGTCTCATATCTGAATGTAACTGAAATTTAAGAACTGCATAACTAAAAAGTTCAAGCACGCACGAGTAATTTTCTACCGTGCAACCCCTCCAATGCCAACCGAAATTCGATAGGTCAAAAACTTATTAGATGGTCCCAAATACCCCAGATCAATAGTGAGTGCATGTTCTGTACTGAGGGTCTGTACCTACGTGCAAGGGTCCTCCCCTCTGAGTCATAAAGAGGGTGGTTAGTTAGGGTTGCCTACCGATCGCCATGTGGCAACTGTATCGACAAAATAAAAGTAATTTTAATCTCTACTTCGCATGCGATAAGAATACTCTGCAACGCTAAATATCAGCAGGTTGGTGTTTTTTTGGATTATCAAAAATAATTCTGTTTGTGGTAATTCAGGATACCTTGTTTAATAGTAAATTTTGTGGTACAAGCTATGCTACGCTGAACTTGAGTATTTTGTTTATTATTAAAATAACATGTATACTTATTATATATACGTATAGACATGTTACTTTGTAATTTACAAAATGCGTTTTGATATGCATTTCGAATGATAATGTTTTATGAATAAGTGTGTTACTTAGTATACATCGAGTTGTTATTAAAATGGGAATTATCATTATTATTTCACTACTTTCAAATATTACATTTTTTATTACCGTGTGTGACAACCCTACACGCAGCCCTTACTATTGAGGGTTTGGTCGATAGTATTCTCTTTTGTTTTCGCATACTGAACGCATTGCTTCTCATTCCCTTAAATTTACTTATTTAGACGACTGCTTTTTATAAGTTAGATGATCAATTAAATGCTATTCTAGAAGAATGCCTGGCAGTAAGACTGCTTTATTTTTATATTTCGTCTTTGTAGCTTATAAAATCTAAACTGAATTTCTAATGTAACTTCTTCAAGTTTCAGATATAAAATTGATAGGTAATTTTAAAAAAATATTTTGTACACATCTTATGAAGGATGCGAGAGATGCTAAACATTACTTCTAGAAACTTACTGATTTCATTATATGACTATACATGGTTGTCTTTGGGATAATTAATAAGTTTTTGTGTTATACAAAAGATTTAATCAAACATGTTATCCTGTACAGAGCGTGCAACACATTACGGCTCTACAAATTTCCATACAGAAAATGCAGGGACTCCAGACTACGACGGCCAGTAGAAATGTCACGACTTCCGCGAATTGTTTCCACACATTAACAATAGACAGACAGTGCGGATAGAAAGAAGGGCACCTGTCGAATATAAACATGAACGGTCTCTTTCTTAGTGAGCTCATGTAAAGATTGCACCCGAAGTCTATGCGTTCTTTGCGTTTCACCTTTCGGGCTTTACGCAACCGCTTCTTTGGATCTTTATCGGCTATGTGCAATATGTAGTTCGTGATAGGATGTTGTTCCAGTAAGTTTTTAGTCTCTTTAACGGAACCCATGGCTGACAAACGCATACCGACTCTCCTACCAGTGGCTGCTACACCGCTATCATTATAGGTTTCCTTCAATGTCTTGCCTATGAGGCTTGGGTCCTTTGCCATGGATTTTACGGTGCGCCAAGAATGTTTTGGGTCCTTGGCGCACCTGTACATTATACGCAAGACGTCAGTTATTCCCGTAATACCTAATTTTGCTACATCCACAACAGACTCCGCGACTAACATGACGTCGTTCTTGTCACCTTTGATTGATTTTTCCATCACCTTGGCGCTCTCAAGCCGTTTCTTTCTTCGTATTTTGTCCGCTTTGGAATGTTGTTTCGAAATTTTCTTTCGTCTCTTTTCATATTCTTTCTTTTGTTTCTTTTCTAATATTTTTTTTCTCCGCTTCATTTCTTCTTGGCAAAGGCACATGATCCCACCGGGATTTTCGGCAATAGCGTTCATAATGGCTATTTCTTCGTCACAAATAGGACTACCGCAAGAGCATGGTTGAATAACTTTCTTCTCTGGTGGTTTGTAACGTTTTAAAAATTGTACATGCCTCGCACAAGCAACACTTCCACACACACAAGTTTGTTTTTTCTTTTCCTTTTTATTTTTTTCCTTTTCTTTGACTTTATCGGCCTTTTCTTTTGCTTTCTTTGCGGCTGCTGCGTCTTTTTTGCCTTTAAGACAATAACAACATTGACAATCCTTACCATGTTTCTTTCTCATGGCACCGGTTTTTGTCGCTCCTTTGCCGCGTCTTGTGTGTAACTGTGTGACCTTTTCTGTCACTTCTTCTTTATTTATTATATTTAAACTATCAGCTTCTAAGTATACATTAAAGAGTGGTTTAAGTTTAGGCGCTTTTGGTATTATTGGTAACAACGGCTTTTTTACTTTAAAGAATTTCGTAGGCCATCCTTTTATTTTGTTTACACATGCATTAAATTTAGTAAATAACGAAAATCCTATACCATCTTTTAAGCAAACCTTACAATAAGGGCATTTTCCGTCTTTACTAATTTCTCTTGGTTTGGAATAAGCCTTAATACCTTCTTTTATGTTATCTTTTATTACTATTGGACCGCCTTTATTTTCTATTTTATAGTCGCCCTTTTGTTCAAATGTCTTATTTCTCATTGGCATGCAGGGACATCCTACCTTAGCAGGTTTTTCTTTAGAATCGCCCGCTTCAAATTTATTTCCACGCAGCATATCAAGATCACCGATATTAGGCTTCCCTTTAACTTCATTTTTCTCGAGCATAAGACTCTTGGATGTCCGAATTTTTGATATACGTTTTGTTCCTTTTGCTCGACGGTCACTATAAGAAGTCCTGAGGTCACTAAATATTTGTTTTTCTCTGTTTGTTCCATTTGAGTATTCTGCGTTTCCTTTAGTTGGTTTTGACACGGTTGTGGTATTTTTTTAAGGGACCGACAAATTTTTCACAATAACATGACTTATCGGTATTCATAGCGAGCTTGCTTTGTTTCCTTGTTAGTCGATTTTTTTTGGAAAACTTGCCACGATGCTTCTTTTTGTTTTCTTTTTTATTTATTTTATTTTCCATGAGAATTGTTTTGCTGGCTTTTTTATCAAATTTCTTGGGTTTGTATGATAAAATTGTTTGCATTTCATTATCATTTTTAAATTTTGTTTTTTTTACTTTACTCCGAGTGATTTTGGTAACGACTGCCTTTTCTTCAACTGTGTTTTGTTCTTTGGGCTTGATTTGATTTTTCTGTGTCTTAGTCAGAAATACATCAAAGGCTTGCGGAAAAGGCACTTTTGGAAACATTTTGTTTTGTACCTCAGCACGACGTACTTCGAAACTTTGTGGGTAAGGCACTGGAAGCGCTGATCTATTTTTTTGTAGCTTTAATGTACAAAAACAACGTTTAAGCCTATTTATAGTATTAGAGCTTTTATTTTCCATTCCTCTTGCTTCAACTTGCGATTCAGTGTTACGGAGGTTTCTTAAATGAGGAGGAGAAACATATTTAGTGGCATACTTTCCTCTATCACCTGTAACTAAATGTGGTTCGTCATACACCACCTCCTTAATTTTTTTTGGCTTACGTTTTTGGCCTGGTGGGGAAAACTCTTTGTAAAATTCTATATTAAAAGATACGTTAGATCCAACTTTTACTCCCTGCCAATTTTGTTTTTTAAGGTAGTTTGTAAAACGCGGTACTTCTACAACATTTCCTTCTTTATAATGTTTAGGTTTCTGCACAAAGTTCGATTGTACTTTTTGTGTTCTAGTCGTTACTGAGGAGGCATCGATGTATCTATTTCTTTTTCGTCTTCCTCCTTCAGTCCCAATTGCTTGAGAACGGATATTTAATTTTCGTAACTTTCTTTCACATTCATAAGGGTCACATTCATTTGGAACACACATGAAAGGTGGACATTCATACGGTGAAGTCACATTATAAGATAGAGTATTTTTGGTATGTGTCATCTTATTCTGCGTTTGCAATGGCTGTCTTTTCATTTCATTAACAGAGGCTGCACTTTTATGCAATTGTAACGTACAAAAGCATCTTTTGAGTTGTGGATCGGTAATCGTACTAGTAGACTGGGTTGGTATACCTGCAAACTGTGAGGCATCATATCTTCCAAAGCCATCTCGAAATTGTTGTCCCTTAGTCCTGTACTTAGCTCTGCGTGCCATGTTGCTTTCGGTGTCGTACTGTCTAACTCTATGGACACCATTTTTTCTTTTTCTATAAGCAGGATCACCAAACGTTCTATCTTTGAAAAATTCTACGTCGAAACTGAACGTCGATCCTATACGAACGCTTTGTTTTTGTCCTTCGTAATGCGAAGGGACTTTAGGTTGATATACATGTTTTGGTTTGTCAAGTTTTTGAACCATTACTCGCGAGGGTCTTTCGTAGGTTTGTTTATTAACATAATCACCCTTGTGGGCCCTTAAATTCCGTGTAAATGTAGATTGAGAAGTCGTTTTCGCTTGCGTTGTAGTTGTAGCGTTTTCACGCAATAATCTTTTTCTTATACGTTTTTCGCATTCATAAGGATCACACTCACCCGGTATGCACGTGTTTGGTTCACATTCATAAGGCTCCAATTTTGCGAATTGATTTTTATTTCTGCGCTGAGGTTTTACTTCGAATTTTAAGTGAGGGGAATTTTGTAGCCTTTTTGTATTTAATTTCAATGAACAAATACAGTTCTTCAAAAATGTGCTGACAGCAGAAGCGGCAGACTTTGTTGCATCCATGTTCCTTTTTAATGAATCAGTGTCAAATCGTCGTTTGTGTGCTTTTTCGCGTCGTAGGCGTTTCTGAATCCATGTCTCACATTCATACGGGTCACAATTATAAGGGACACATATGCCAGGCTCACACTCATTAGGATCAAGCCTTCTTTTATATTCACCGCCTTCAGTCATTGTCATAGCGCTCTTATACTTGATTTTATTTAATTGGTGTTTTTCTTTAATTTTTCGTTGATTGCGTAATTGCAATGTACAGAAACAGCGCTGCAGAAATGGCTTCACTGTTGTCCCAATGTTTTTGTGCGGTAATCGGGATGTTTGTATCATTCGCATCTGCGAGCTTGTCGGTGTTGTAGTAGTAATCGCTCTTTTTTTGTTTTGGAACTTTTACTCTTTCCGGTTTGATAATTACTTTTTCAACTTTTTCCTGTTTCTTGTATTTTGCTTTGTCAGACTGCGTTTTGTCTTTATAAAAGTCAATGTTGAAACTAAACGTTGAGCCAATTCTAACAGCTTGTCTCTTATTGCTATGTGATGTTTTAACTACTTTTACTTTGTCTGCGTGTCGAATGGGTCGATCTCTTTGTTTTACTCTCACTCCACGCGATTTGTACTTTCTATATGGCCCGATAGTATTTGAAGATGCACTTGCACTGGTCCTTATTGTGCCTGTGCCCATTTCTTTCAGATTTCTTTTATTTATTCTAGCTAAACATTCATATGGATTACACTCACCGGGAACACAAATACCCGGTTCGCATTCGTAAGGAAGCAGGTTTGGAAGCATCCTAAGTGCTTTAGTATTTTGTCCTTTTTCCACAGTCCTTACGCCATTAAGTTTTTTAGGTAAATCAGTTTGGGCTTGGCCAACACCATGAAATCTTCCTTTTTTGTGTAATTTCAATGTGCAAAAACAACGATTTAAATTATGTAATCCTTGAGAACCCCTATGTTTCATTTGTCGACCAAAATATTGTGATTCACTATCACTTGTAGGGTGCCGCGTATATATATTCTTACCCCTCATTTTTCTAGGTCGGGGTTTAATTTTCTGTAATTTTGCTTCAGAAGGACTGTAGTAGACTGGTTGTTTTGTCTCCAAACATGGACGATTTTTATAAAATTCCACATCAAAACTAAAGGTTGATCCAACTCTCACTGCTTGTTTATGGCCTACTTTTGATTTTGTTTTTTGACCATCAACAGTTCTATAGTGTGCTTGTTTACGGTTATAAGATGGTCGTGATGAGGACATTACTGCCATATGAGATTCATTCGCTCTTCGGATTCTAGTCTGACTACTAGAAATGGATCTAGAAATAGAATCGGTGCCAGATAACTTAGAATAACCTTTTTGTAATCGTTTCATAATTAATTTTTGACATTCATATGGATTGCATTGCCCAGGTATGCAAATACCTGGTTCACATTCATATGCTTTTAATTTTCTTGTTTCGTACTGAACATTCATTGCACAAAAGCACCGTTTTATGTATTGGCTTATTCCTGTTAGTGTTCCTTTTTCTTCTTTGAGGAAGGAGTTATTAAACGTTATGCTTTTATGTGAACTTTCCTTAGAAATACATTGTTTCATCTTGAACGACTTTCTAACCAATTTTACATCCAAACTTAAGTCTGAATTAATTGCTAAGGACTGTTTTGTTGATAGTTTTGAATATGTTGGAATTAAACGTAAAGCGCTGCGATTAATGTTTAAGCTTTCAAGAAACTCTTCATTTTTTTCTAAGTCCATGGGCTTGTTATCACGGGGCAGGACGTTCGGTATCAAAGCTGTATTAACTGTATACGAACTAGGAGGAATAATCTTTTTCTTTTTTCCATAGTCGCGTTTCTGCTTTTTATATAAATTTAAAGTGCAAAAACATCTCTTTAACATTGGACCTACAATAGAAGATTTATCACTTTGTTTCACTTTTCTTATTTGTGTATCCGCATTACCTACTTTCCTTTTTTCTATTAAAATGCCCTTTTGTTTAACTCTATGTCTGGTACTTATGTTGATAGGTTGCACAGATGATTTTAAATCTTGTTCGATTGCTTGATTCGATATATTTTTAGAAAATTCAATATTGAAGCTAAATGAAGACCCTATATTCACGGCTTGCTTCGATGTATTTCCTAATATGACATTTGATTTTTGTGTTTGACGAGCTTTCTTGACAGGTTTACTTTTTACCAAAATTTTTCGTTCTTGTGTACTGGGCTTGTATTGAACGAAAGCAGCTTTAGATCGACTTTGAGTATAACTTGAAGTTGATTTATTTTCTGGACTAATAGTACCCAAGCTGACCTCTCTGGTATTTTTGTTTCTTCTCTTAATCCTTTCAAGGCACATGTATGGATCGCATTCCCCAGGAATACAAGTAAATGGCTCACATTCATAAGGCAATAAAGACATAATTCTATTTTCAGTTTTAGTAGATGTGTCTCGTACTTTTATGTAATCTGAATAATCGACGGTTTCTGTTCCTGTGGTAGAAATTTTACGTTTCTTTTGTTTCTCTCTTAATTTAACATTTCTTTTATGCGGTCGTTCCTGAGTATAATTCACTCTGGGTCTAATCGAGAAACTGTTGATGTCTGCCTTATTTTCATAGCCTAGTTGATTTGTTGAACCAGTATTTTTATAAAATTCTATATTAAAACTGAAAGCAGAGCCAATGCGGACGGCGTTGCCACTTCTGTCGGCTTTGTTAATGACTTTTCTCGGGCGTAACTTTAATTTTTCTCTGTCTGCTACTTGTTTTCGCCGCGGCATTATAGCAGATTGTACTTGCTTTGCTTTTGATGATCTTACTTTAGGCGTAACACTTGATGTTGACTTCGTCTTACGTGAGCTTGTGTAGGACTGCTTTGAATGTGTCTGTCTCCTGTTTTGTAATTTTAAACATTCATATGGATTGCATTTTCCTGGTACGCATATGCCTGGTTCACATTCATAAGGTAGTAATTTGTGTCTATATTTTTCATCTTTCATTCGTATTGACGACATAGTTGAAACGGACCTCTGTGTTTGTGCTGGTTTGCGGCGCTTTTTCTTCAATTTTAATGTACAAAAGCATCGCTTTAAAGCGTGACCTTTCTGAGTGATGACATTTTTAGATCGTTGTATAATCACTTGTGAACCACTATTGCCTACCTTTACTCTCCTTGCTTTAACTTTTCTGGTTCTACTTATAGAAATGCCTGAAGACTGGTTAAAATCATTTTTTTGTTTTAGTGCTTTCTTAGGGACATTTGGAATAGGTCTGTTTTTATAAAACTCTATGTTGAAACTAAAAGAAGATCCGATTCTTACTGCTTGGCGAGAACTCGATCTTTGATCCGACAACGACTTTAAGCGCTTTGTTCTTTTAAAATTGGTTTTTGTTATTACGTCTGCTTTCGATGGCTTCGAAGTTTTTTGACCTTTTGTTTTTTGCTTTAATCTCTTTATACTAACTGTAGGTGTTAATTTCATATCTTTTTGTACATCGGCTTGGGCAATGGTTTTCGTTTTTCCGCCTAATTTTGCTTGAGATCCTTTGGCTTGGATTTTAAAACTTGAGTTCTTTGATGAAGTGCCAACAACTTTCCCCCTTTTACGCATTTCTGACATACTTGCCATATGTCGCCTGCCGCGTAGTTTATTTAGGCGGGCTTTTTTTCGTTTTAATCTTTCAAAACACTCTTCCGGAATACATGTTCCTTTTTCACATTCTTTGTGACAAATCCAGTCGTTCTCCACTTTTTTTTTGGCCATATTTTCTTTAAATTTAACTAAAGAGTCTTTTTTTACCTTGATTGCAATATCTGTTTCTTCAGATGTCGGTGTAATTGGTGGTGCCTTAACCTTCGCCTTTCTCATCTGTTCTCTTCTTTTTTCTTCTAATTTCTCTAAGCTTCGCTTAACATTTGCTTTTATTTTGTTTTTGGTGCGCTTTACCTTTTCAATAGATCTCTTTACCTGAGCTTCCATAATTTCACCACCTTCGAGCATTCTGTTCTTAAACTGTAACTGAGACTCCCGTATTTTCTCGAATGAAGCTCTTCCCGCATTCTTTAAGATCCTAACTTTTCTATTCTCCTCTTCCAGAACGAATTCGTCATACACCGGTTCAGGTTTGAATTGGTCGATTTTCCTTATCTTTTCCAAGGATTCACGAACATGACTTGCCAAATTGTCCTGTAGTTTGGTTTTGGAATCCTTAAGTTTTTTAACCCCTTTAGAAATTTTGGCTTGAATTTTAGTTTTAGAATCAGCTATATTCTGCAAGGACTTTTTCGCTATGCGTTTTACCCTGTGACGTCTGGGCTTGATCTCTTCGTCAACGCTAACAACTGAATCTACTTTATGTTCCGCTTTGATTTTCTTTCTCTTACCCCCCGAGCCCGAGAAACGGAAACGTGCAAGTACAGGGATCGGATTTGATATGCTTAGGCGAGAACTTGACGCCTTTTCTTCTTTTGACTTCATGTCTAAATTCTTGCTGATAATGCCCACCTTTGAAGTGTCCTTTCTTATGGTGCTTATGTGTGTGCGTTTGCTCGTTGTTGCAAGTTTGAGGAACAACTGCAACAGCTACAACAATCGCTTAACTTCACCGAATCCAACGCCGCGCCTTTGTCGACCAAATTAACTATTTCTAAAATGGCGCTGCTTTTATCATTGTCTTCATTAACAGGTGAGAACTTCGCATTTTTCTGCAAACTTGACGTGCTATCCGAGACAAGTTGGGCTCTGATATCGTCGTATACCGCCCTTGTTCGGACTAGTTTGTCCAACAGTTTCTTTTCTCTCAGGGGTATGTACTTTCCATAGTACAGGCGGTCAATTTTAGAGCCATTTAAGACAAATCGTTGTAAAGAAGTGCGATCAGATCCACTGTTGTGTGCGCAAGACGTGCAAGAACAAGAGAGGCTTGTGCTGTGTGCTTTTCGTAGAGGCTTCATAATGTGTCGCACGATCTGTTACACAACTAACAATTTCATAAATGACAACACAGGACTCTTTCAGAACGTTGTTGATCTTCAAACATAATTTAACGAAACGTGCACTTGTCCATTACACAACGAATGCACACCTGCAAAATACAGTATTACTACACTATTACAAGAAATTAAGGCCTGCCTGTAGTTTACGCGAGTAGTACACATTTAAATAGAACACTTTAACGGTTTAAAACGCGATATATTAGGTATTAAACTTATTTGAAAATTATTTTAGCTACGGCCCGTCATTTCGGATGCTCTCCGTCGTCTCCCTGTGACCACTGGCTGCTGCAAAGTATACGCAACGTACCCGTGGCTAAAATAATTTTCAAATAAGTGTAACTAATATATGTCGCATTTGAAACCGTTAAAGTGTTTTATTTACCTAAATGAATATTGGCTTATTTTTTTTTAATTTACTATGGAAGCTCAAGCTAAGTTTTGTGCTCAATGCACTATTAGATTGTAATAAATAGGAGCAAATATTTTTTTTTACTTATTAGTAGTATTGGGTTACTTACTGGACAAAACAAGGACGCCAAAAACATCCACTAACACACATTATCGTGGGATGTTACATTTTTACATCACAGAACCACACAGGACTCTTAGTAATTTCACTTATCATTTAAAGATTCAGTAAATCACATAACGTTTATCGAAACACCATATTTCCAAAATGAAAAGGAAATCAAATGTCATTAACGACTATTTTGACGGCTCGTTCGATTTTTAAAAATATTTATGTTCAAAGTAGGTGCTTACTCTTACTTACTCTACAATAATATTAAAATCTTAATTATACTGAATATCGATAATTGTGAAAAATTAAGCATGTTTCCTACATTTAAATTTGTTAGATAATATTTTTTACTCTATAATCAATTATAAAAGAGTTCGCTGTTTGTGGCTTAACTTAACGAATACGTTAAAAAATGTATCTCCGATTCAAATTATATTTTGTGCCATACGGAGGGGATAACTAATTTGAAAGCAACTTTAAGTAGGTAGTGGCACCCCACTGTGCACCCTATGATTAAAAAATCGATGCACTTCGTGCCCTGAACGAGCACAATTAACAGTAAAATCTCTTTAAGTTTTACTCCTATCACAGAAAAAGTCCTACATTTCAAGATACAATTTCTATTGAAGATTGTGTTTTTTCGTATAAAGTGACAAAATGTAGCTCTTACCTCCTTTAATTAATAAAATCAAATAGAAAATTACTCGACGAATATTGGGTATATTCGTCGAGTAATTTTCTATTAAAAATCTATTAAGGAATACAACAATAAAAACGTATTGAATTTAAAAATTTATACGTAGGTAAGTATATCTAATTGATAAATTACGAAGACTCGGCCGGGACATGAACCGGCATCCACAGCGAAGTAGGTATGCTATATTTTGTTATTCATGTAACACTATCTATTTATTTACTTAGGAAACTAAACAGTCCTGCCTCTTATGATAACTTAAAACTAATATTCTTATTGTCTAGGGAAAAAAAAAAATTTTATAGGAATCTAAATGTATGTAGGTAACATTTGATTTAAAAATAATAAAAAAAGCTTTGAGGCGAGAAACAGTGTTCTCCAGTCTCCACAATATGATAAAAATCGTATTCTTTTATAATTAGATATGTGTGATATCTTTATAAGTTACGAACTTTTTTATCTTATATTTATACTTTAATTGCGAGAACGAAAACAAATCAACATCATTCGACGCGTTTGCAATAACGTGAAAATGGTTAAATTTTAAGACGTTTCCTTTAATAAAATTCGTGATTGTTAGGCTTACTAAGTCAATGATTTTGGAATTTTTAAACATATAAATAATACCCGTCATAAAGCGTATAAGATCTATTTGTCAATGAAATCTAGAAAGTTGTAAGTTTTATTCATCAGAGGTTACTGACTCGCACGTTCGAGACACCTGCGTGACAGGTTATTAAGGCTTTTATCTTACCTGAAGGTGTAAAACTATCTCCAAAGTTTATAAAAACTCACACAAAATCACAACACATAAACTTTATGTTATCACAACACTCACGGAAAAAGTAAATTAAGTTACTCCGCGAGTTTGTAACAGTTGTTACGCGTAACGTAGTCAACTCCCACACAACTTCGAAAGCAAACTAAACTTATCAACTCAACGGACCAAAGCATTCAAGCAACCGCCAAACGGAAGCTTACAAAAAACTACCTTTGCGTTATTTAAACCTGCGCCATCTATCTTGTTAAATCTGCAAATATATTAGTAATTGATACTAGATGGCGCTTTCACTCGTAGTTATATGCGTTACAAGTTCTTGAATTGATTCAGAGATATCACTGAATACACATACCAGATAGCCTCGCATACTTTTAAAATTTATAATAATTTTTGATTTTACATTTTAAAGTAGCTTTTAACAGTACTTTTTGTGGATGTTTTTTACTTTTTAATTACATATTATTAAAACTCGTCAAACCTATTTTTTTTCTATTATGTAGAATGAAAAAGATATATTAATTTATCGTTTTTAAATGAAGTTTAATAACTAAATAAAAAAAAAATTGATCCAATTAGTCTTATGTTTAACAACTTAAAGGTAAAACCATGACACAATATAACAAGTATTTAATGTTTATTAGAAATCATACTGCAGCCAAAAATAAAAGAAAACAAATTTTATATAATTTTATTAAAACAAACATACATGTTATTCTTATATTAATTTTATGAATAATATTTTAACTGTCAAGATTTAGAATTACTATCACTTTCAGATTCAGAATCAGAACTACTAGACGGCCACATAGACCTTGTGTCTTTTTCATTTTGTACATCTTGTAAATATTTAGTTTGTGCCTCTAAGACACTCTTACTATCTGTGCACAGTGCATATGCATCTAATGCCTCTGAATTTAATTCTAAGAAAGAATGACCCCATGAGAACTTTGATAAATAAAACTTTGCCTCTTTTTTATGTCCAGTTATAAACATAGCAGCGGCCAGAGCTTCCACACAACTTAATTGATATGGTTTGCCATAATTAATTGGATTTGCTGCTACTAAGAAAGGTAACAATCTTGGGTGGGGCGACTTCATTCTGGTGAAAGGTGTCTCATCAATTTTGGCCCATGAACAGTCTATTACTGCTAAACCATATTTTATTATTATGTCTTTGTCGTTTGGACTAACACATTGCGTGCCGACGGGAGAAAGAACTAATCCCTGAAATCTTTGTCCTAGTTTCAAGCTCTTTATAAGATTATGTCGCAAAAGTTTGCGCCCAGAACACTTTTTCGGGTCACAATGGTTTAAATCCCACATGCTGACTACAAATTCAGCTTCAACACCCTCGTCATTAGAACTGCTTGAATTATCACTTTCTTCTGAAGATTGTAAGCTTAATTCTTGCATGGATTCAGCATAGTTTTTGGGCACATGATGATTAGTACGTTTCCCTCGCGCAGCTTTTTTGGGAGGCATTTTATCTTTAATCAATTTAACCACTTTTTCTTAAGAATAACTGAATTAAAATTGTTTGTTTATTCTGCATTGATGATCATTTATAAGTTCGCTGTCAGTCAAATGTGACAGCTGTTATTGTCAGAACAGAATACAGGTTATCATAGTTCCTAAAAAATACAGGCTATAAACATGTGTGTTGTTTATTGATTTAACGTCTGTTTATTTTTAAATTAGTAGAGATAACTTACGGAGAATTTTGTTATTATTAATTGTTAAAAATTTTACATAAGTAAAATAACAGTTCTTAAAATAATTATATAATATATTGTAGTTGGCTGGTTGCAATATTTGTAGGCATTTTATTTTCTGTTATTGACAGTGTGCTTTAAAAGTAAAAACCTTATAACGATTTTTATAATTTTGAAGGATCAATCATAATTATATTTATATGTGACACTTATGTGATTTTTTTAATTTAATTAATAAATAACTCACGTAAAATTAATATTTATTAAAAGATAATATTTAAAATAATTCAAAATTGATTTCACGAGGGGAAGAATGAGCAGCGCCTCGATGGCGGGTATGTTTAAATATTTTTTAACGATTTGCGTTTTATGTAAATTATAAATTTATAAGTTATTTTCATTTTTATGTAAATAGTAATTAAAGACTCCAGACCACCAGACACGTTTTAATAGCATTTTTATGTTGATATCAAATACCTAACTGGCATAATATAATATATTTTATTTTGAAAATTTACTTGATAGTAAGTAGCTTGTGTATATAAGTTAAAGTAATTTAAATAAAATCCTATTTTATTTGATAGCACCTATCTAATAAAAATTACATACAATTAATGTCGTATGTATGTATCTTGTGGCTAGTTTCATGGTATATAATTAATCCGATAGCCTACATTGATAAGATCGTTTTAAAATGTTGTACAGACAAAATAGGTATTGTTTCTTAGAAGGAAATTATCAATTTACATAGATATATGTATTATATAGACTGAGTCATCGGTATTCGTCAACCGAGGAAGGTTACAACGCCCTCACTTTATTCATACTGTTTTGTCTTTAGATTCTAGATTGTATGTTCTAGATTAGTGGTTGTGTAAGAATTTTATAAATAGATTTTTGTCTAAGTAAGTAATTTTGTTTATTTATCTTAAATAACGTTAATATGACATTATAAATGTGTATTTGTAATTGATTTAGACGAGCTCTGTTGTCCAATAATAGCTAATAAAACCAAAGCATCGTTGGTTCGATTCTCAACTGATCCAACATGTTTTTAAAAACAATTTATGATTTTCCTTAAACAATTAAGCTTCGTTTGAAAAAAAAATTATTAACATTCATGAATATTGAAAGTTAGTAAATTGTAATCGCGTTTCGATCTGACTCTGGATTTATAAATTCAAAGGTAAAATACGACAATAGGGCACCAGATTAGATACTATATTGCTGGCAAAACTTGTCTGTCAAAGGGAGAAGTTTTAATTTTTGTCATACTAAAAAAACACAGTTATTTAAGGGTTCGACTATGGACAGACAAGAAATGCCGTATTGAAGAAATAATTGGGTAGCTATTTCAGGAAGACAAAGTAAGAAGTACGTCCTATATTTTTAATATGTATTCATCTATCTTTAACGGCTGTTATTATTTACTAGCGACCCGGTCCTGCCTTCGCTCGAGTGTAGTGCTGATATTAAATACTTTACAAAATAGTGAATATTGTATAGTTAAAGCCTTCTCTTAATCATACTTCTTTAAAAAAGCATTAAATCCGTTGCGTATTTTTAAAGATTTAAGGCGCATAGGGACAGAAAAAGCGACTCTTTTAATACTTTGTAGTGAAGCGATAGGTTTTTGCTATACTAAAAGCCTTTTAGAATAACCAAAATTTTTCAGTATAGGGTAGAGCAACTATTGTTTTCCTTATACAGCTGCTTGATTAATGTCTCGAATGTTACAATACATAGTAATATTACTATCCCCATATTGTAATATATACCGTAAAATTAAGTGCAAGTAATACCAAAGCAAAAAGCTAGTTACTAAATAATATATAATACAATATGAACCTAATTATTCGGTACGAACATAAAGTTTATCTTTTAAACAATCGACATGGTATAGGCAATTTACTACAATCGATATTCTACAGTGTTACAGACATATGAACATTATTGAGTTGTTCGTTAGGACAGATAGGCGTTTCGATATTATCTAAATGTAAGTAGAACCTTTTCAGACAAACATACAACAAATCTTTTTATACTATGTAAATTGAAATAATCATAATTTAGTATTTCGGGTGCAGTCTCATACAGAAGCTGAATTCCATTCTATTGTTTTCAACACGCTTCGTTGGTTATAGACGTGCCTATCCTTCGAATCTACTTTGATCTACATTTTAATGAAAATATAGGCTTGTCGCTATGACATAATTTTATAATTGGACACTGGTAATACAAATGTATTAAAGTCATAATGGGCACAAGCTTCTCTATATCAGCAGTTGGATTTATAGATTTTCTTTGTAGATCGTCAAAATACAGGTAGCAGAGATATTTGCCTCGAGAAAATTCGGATTAAACATTTTTTTTTAATCGAAAATCGAAGCCTAACATGTTTAAAATAAATAAATAAATTGATTAGAATGTTTTGGACGCAAGGGATCGAATTCACGATACATTGTTTATTAGCAATACATTACTAGCGTTAGACTAACGGTTCTGTCAAAATGAATAAGATTTCTTTGTATGATGATAACATTTTTGCGGCTTCTTTGCAAAGCTTTGAGGTTTTCTAGCTGTTGTTTTTCCAGCTGCATCGCAATTGTTTCTCAGTTTTCAAACAACGTGAAAATCCAAAGATGTATATGAATAATGTTTATTATTAGGTTCTAATGTCTTAATGTTTATTTACAGCCTGCTTCAACTACGAAAACTCGCCGAAACCAACCAATAAAGGCGACAAAAAAGACACCACTTTGAACATTATGGACGCCGGTAAGTAAAATAAAAATAGCATTTACGTAACAAGGAATAGCAAAGTATACACTATGAATGGAATATCACTTGCTTTGTCGTTTTGGTATTTAAGCACTAAATGCAATGCGCTGTCGGCCTATTTTGGCTTAGGAATTTGCCGCTGAAACATTTGCCTACTGCTAGCTGACCTGGCAAACGTTCTTTTGCCATATGACTGATGAGTACTTCGACGGAAATTGATTACCATAAAAACGGTGCTTGTACGATAATCTTTAAAGATAAACATATATTGTCGCGAGCATTTTCCTAGAATATTTATAGAATAAATCTTTTACACATATCGCACTACCGGTGCGACACTGTCGCTTTTGAAAAAGTCCAAAAAATGACGTCAGGGACATCCTCCATCTTTAGTTTACCTAAGACCACGGCTGTTGCAAAGCATCCGAAACGTCGGGCCGAAGTTATAAATAATTTTCAAATGAGTTTGACTAATATATCGCGTTTTAAACCGTTAAAGTATTTTGTTTAAATGTGTACTATCGCAATAGACATTCCAAAAACGAGTAAAGTGTTTAATAAGTAACCTAGAGCACCCCTTTACTTGGTGCGATGATGCTACTTTTCGCTAGTTCATAATTGTCATTAAAAATAAAACTAAGCAAACTATTTGTTCTTGTTTTCTTTTAATTTTTCTTTAGATCCACAATTTCACTTCTGAGGGGGATTGAAGTTTTAATTTTTAGTAATATTAAGTAAAGGATAATTAATTATTTATCTAAAATTTAGGTTAAAAGTTGACGTATGTGAGTGTGAGCAAGTCATCACGCCTATATCTTCTAACGTCATTTCTTTGTGAGGTGTGAAAGTTTGAAATGCTTCTCCTGAAAAATTGCATTTTTGCAAAATGAACAGTGCCGCACCGGGTTACGCGATATTTTTCGGGTAAATGGAACCGCTTTCAACGGAAATTCTAAAAGGATTATTTTCCCTGTATTTTCCACATTTCCCTTTTGTTTCTTTGCTCTTATAGGTAATAGCCTGATATTTTACAGCTTATGCAAAGCAAATGCGTTCCTCAATGTTCCATCAACACAAGAATTTTCAATTCGAACCTAGAACCTAGTGGTTGCTGAGATTGGCGTGTTCAAACAAACTCTTCAGCTTTATAATATTAGTAGAGATAAAACCTTATTATTTATGATGCGCATTCGCAATTTCTTTTATTAGGTAAGTAAAACAGGGTACCGTTTAGTTTCATGTGATAAAGTTTTAACTTCTCCAACCCATGCGGGTATTATTAAGCAGATACGCTGTTTTCTAATAGAAACTGCGTCAGTCTGAACGGTTCTCGTTGTCAGAAATTAATGTCATGAACACTTTTCCCACGACGGTTGGTTAAGCGATTAAATTAATACAACGAGATACTGAACTCAAATGTCTTACACTGAAATAAGAAACCTATTTACTAACGGTCGTGTTTGATGGATTTTAGACCTGATTGATGTGGCTAGAGGTCCCAGCGCAAGTATCTTGGGTTAAATATATACATTGCATGCCATATTATTTCTATATATATAGTTGTATTCTTTTATTTCGATTATGTAAAAAGTCTTAATAACATGGGTGTGCCACAACTTGAATTAAATAAGTATCGGCACACTTTTACTTAAATTAGGAAGAACAATTAAATTACAAATGTGTAGAATTCAAATATACTAAAAATAATGTTATTCCCCCCCTAATTTTCATGGACCGAAACGTTAGTTTGCTGTCGAAAATTAATTCGGCAATTAAACTCCTTATAATCTTCTAGCTGTGCCAGCGAATTTGTCCGCGTAGAATAATTAATTTTGGGCTTCCAATTGTTTTGCAAACCTCTAAATTGCCGGTCGTTGAGTCCCGTTGCTCCGTCTCGTCCTTGCAAGAGGTCATTAAAGAGGAACATTTTTCCGTACATATTGGGTTCTAAACGTGAGACGACGTGAAACAACCATAGAGACGATCATTTCCCCCGTTTTGTTCACATTTCCCGATGTATCTTCGCTTCTATTAGTCACAGCGCGATGTTTTATAGGCTATAGCCTTCCGCATAAATACTCAACCAATTCAAAATTATTTTATTTTTCAAATTCGAACCCCTAGTTCCTGAGATTAGCGTGTTCAGACAAACAAACAAGCACTTCAGCTTTATATATCAGTATAGATAGATAGATTAGACTAGCTAGCCGACCAGCACTGTCTGTAGTTTACGCGAGTAGTACAAATTTAAATAAGACAACGGTTTTTTGTAATATATAAGGGTTTTTTGAAATACATTTAGGTGTTTTTAATTAGGTGCCTAGTAATTAAGAGTCGCTATAAAATTGTATTTATTCAGCTAAATAAGCCTACAGTTATTGGCTGGCCAGCGCTAGAGGGTAATAAAACACATTGCATGCCAGTAATTTTCCAATACATTTAATCACGCAAGCGACACGATCCTTTTACCTGTGAGATTATACGGGATGTGTAGTTGTTAAAATTTCTGGGGCAGATAAGAGACTTTGTTAAACGGAATAATATAAAACATTTTAAATAAGTTAAACTCTTAACGGTTTAAAACGACGAAATGTTCAGTTAAACTTATTTATTAAACATCGTTAACCGGCTCGTTGGTGTAATGGTTAGCAATCAACGTGTTGTGTGTCGATCCCCTCTCTCATTTTTCTTGAAACAATTGAGACTCTGTCTGGTAATCTGAATATTAAATGGGGGGTAGGAATATCCAAATTTCGTTTACAGGTGAAAAAGACGAAGTTTATTCGCGATTCGGTTTCAGTCTATGGATTTCCGAATATCCAAAGTCAAAATAGGTCGACAGTACAAAGGTTTTTCACCGATCATTAAGTGAAAAATAATATGTGACAAAGCTTAAATAAAACAATTTCGCTTTTTAAAGTATGAAATTGTTTTATTCAAATGTATACCACTCGCGTAAACTACAGACAGTATTTGAAAAGACGACAGCCTATCTACTTATTACGTTTAATCTTAAAAAGAATGAAAGTTTTTAAAACAAGATACATTTATTAAGAAGAAATTTAGTCTGAAATTAAGCTAGTTGTACTGTTAGTTAAAATGCGAAAACATAAAAAATTGAGTGAAGTGAAGAACTTTTAACAAGCGCGTTATGATGTTACAAATTTTTTTTTCGGTCGACAACTGTCGTTTCAAGCCCTCGAGAATACACATTAATTAGAACACACCCTTTATATTTTTTATGCCAACTCGTAAACTATAGCACTGTATATTTATCCGACTACGCACATGTTTAAGTATAAGTTTTCAACACCCCAAGAAATATGATTATAGTTTATTGCATAATTTTTTTGTATAAAGATTCTTCTTCTTAATTACAAGCTTTAACAGATGTTTTATTTTTATTATTATTATATTAAAAGTATGCAAACAGAATTCACAACGATATACCTAAGATTGTTTACCTAAGGCAGGGATGCACAGACATGACAGGCCAGAAGCCACTCGGACAAATCATGGACTAATGGCAGGCCGTCAAAAGTATAGGAAATAAATAAAAAATAAAGAATCGATGAAAAAAATATTTTTTATCTTTTAAAAATTGTATTAATGTTTGCTGTCGGGCGCACCAGTATTCCACCTGCGGGCCTCGGTCTGTGAATCTCTGACCTAAAGTATTTTGTAAAGTTTTCAGTGCATGATTTCATTTAAGGTGGTTGTAATAATATCTTAACAATACTATTCAATTATATCTATATGTGTGTTTAGTAAATTGCTTTGTTTCCAATTGTTTGCGTAGTGATTAGACCTCCATTTAATGATAAAATCTATAGCCAGAATTCCTTTTTGGGTAATTTAATTTATTCGCTGAAGGATATCCAAAGCATGGTTGGTTCCACGTCCCCGAAACAGCGACAAAAGATCTTGACCTACTTAATTTGGTGAAAGTCTTTGTCACGCTTATAATTACAAGTTCGTGGTATTTTCCATATTAGTGGAAAATATTATACAAAAGGGTTTTCGAAACGACCTCAATCAGATGTTTGTCTAGTATATTTCTATGAAAAACGTCGATTTTTAAAGCACCATTTTTGGCTTGGTATCACTATTTTTTAACATTATTTTATATAATTTAAAAACCGAAAAAAAATTCAAAAAATTTTCGCCCCGGGCAGGACTTAAACCCCCCTCTTTTTTTTTTTTTTTTTTTTTTTTTTTTTGCCCCCCTTTGCCAAAATTTTAAAAAAAAAAAAATTAAAAGATTATTTTATATACATTTAATATCCAGATTTAAAACGAAGTCCAACGAAGATGTTTAAGGAAAAATATATAAATTGATTAGAACCATTTTGCAACCGGTGGGGATCAAACTCACAAGCCGTATTTTAAACCACACGTTGCTCTATATGGTAGTTTATTTATTGGTACTCCGTAGGCTTTTGGAGGTTTGTTTTTTTTAAATAATTTATTATGTCCCCATGCTAATAAAATTTATCAGTAATTAATATACCGTCCTATGGGAAATAACTACTAGGCGCGGTAAAACTATAGTAAAAAGTCTGTAGCTATAAACATTACACTATTCACTTTATTTGCCCAGTCAAGTTCAGTTGTGCCACCCCCTCTGAACTATGAAGACGTTTACAGACGTTCAGTGTTCCCATTTGAATTGTTTTGACTCGTTTAAGTAACATTGTGCTTACAATGTATCGGGGAAAGCTCAAGTCAAGATCGAATAGTGAGTATAAATCTATGGGAAGACATTTAGGGTTTGTACTTTTAAATTGGCTGAAAATGTATTTAAAATTTCGCATTCAATTTAAGGTCTCTACCATGATTTAACTCTTGTATCATAGTACTTGAAAAAGGACATACGAATATTATTGTTAATTATAAATTTATGTATGTGTTTATTGATATATTTTTTTTTTACTTAAGTCTTAGTAGTGTTTACTAAGCTTTTAAAAACAGCGTAGGTCAATTGGTTAGAGCAAGAGCACAGAACGCTGTGGACGCCGGTTTCAAGACCTGCCTGTGTACTTATTTTTCAATCTAAATTAGTTTTTTTAATTTATAAAATTCCAATGGTTTATAGTAAGATAAAAACGTTGATCGTGGCTTATTTAAAAGAGTAACTTAAAACAGTTCTGAATACGAAAGCGCTGCAGATTGTTATCGTTGCTGTTGATTTGTATTGAATCGAGGTTAACCTGGGTAGATAGCAAATGAACTATGATTCTGGGGTACGAAAGTTGTGTTTCAGGCGGAACTTCGTCTGCATAGAATAGTTAGTTTGGGCATATCAATCGCTATTTAGCAGACATTCTTTAGCTTTATATATTAGTATAGATACAAAAACGTTGTGGGTTTGATTATCATGGTACTGTCTTTGTAAATTAACTTAATTAAATTTAAAAGACAGTGCGTCACTTATTCTGAATACGCAAGGCGCTTTTGGCATAATTGTTAATCAAATTAAATTAAATCTCGTATTGATTTGTATTGTAATAACGATTGAACTCTACTACCTCGTAATAATGTACGAACTTTGCCTTATGGGGTACGGGTATTATTGTTGTGTTTCAGGGGATTATAATTTTAGACAATGATCCGATTAGAGGGCAAAGTTATAATTCTTAAATATCAATATCTGGAAAGAACGCCGTTTCTTCTAGAAAGAAAGCATAAATAGGCCGAGAGCTCATCCTTCTTGATTGTTTTCTGGTTAAGCTTTTCGACATAGATATAAACATTTTCATCTAATATTATACTTTAATTTCATCAATCTAAAAAAATTAAAAATCGATCTAAAAACGACACCAAGAGATCTTGAACCGCAGCGTTCCTAGCTGATTCCGATTTTTAATTTACAAAATTAAATACAAACACCACTTTTTATACATTTAATGTAAATGTTAGTTAAATAACGAAAGATGTTTATTAATTTTACAGTAGCGATGCATCGTCCTCAGTCGGCCTCGAGTCGTCAAGACGAAGAACTCATACAGAAGAGTACCAGGGCTCTCTCTTCAACCACTGATCCGATGGAGAAGCTGCGTCTCTTGTGCTTGTCTCGCGGTGCGGTGGGGATTTTGGGTCTTGGAAGGTATAGTGTTTTGGTTGCTAATGTTGCTTAGAAAGTTCCGTTCTTATGATAGAGTAGGACAATCTTGGAATATTGGAGGTCACTTGATGGTAGGCGAAATAGCCTAGCCATATGATATATAAAAAAGATGCGCGGTAGACCTATTTTGGCTTTGGATATTCGGAAATCTACAGACTGACACTGAAACGTGTTTAAGCTCCGATGTTTTAGGCTTTTATCTGTGGACAGTGGTTTATGACCCGGACAGAGTTTCGATATTTCTACCACCTATTTAATATTAAGATTTCCAGACAAAGTCCAATATCATATCATTGCTCGAAGAATTAATTCTTCGAGGAATCGAGGAATTAACATCTCCTGATGATGCCGTTCACACGTGATGGCGAAACGTCGAGAACCTCTTCTCGCTCGCATCGGCCGAATAGTCCAAAAGACAATGATATACTGAACGATGGCCGTGAAAGCCTTACACAATTTATTAAAGTCCAACATGTTTTAGAAAAATTATGCATTTATAACTAAAATGATCGGACCCCATTGATTATTAGACATAGCAATCAAACCCTCGTCTGTTACCAGTATAAAAAAGATACTAGTATTATTAGTGCTTTCTCGGTATGAAAAATAGCGAACGAAATTATAGCCTTTTGTATAGTTTGATATTTTTTTTCCCCCCTCATCAGGGTATTCCGTCGTATGGATGATGATGGCAGCAAGCAGTTGAACAAGGAAGAGTTCATTAACGGCATCAAGGAAGCTGGACTTGAACTTTCTAATTCGGTAAAACAATTTTGTTCATATATTAGCCATTTTAATAAGTTTTTATTAAAGTGATGAGTTCTACAATCTACAGTGACATCGGTGCGGTAGTATGTAGGTACTGCGTCATACTTCATTCATATACCATATACATATATAGAATAAGACAATTATTTGCAGGAATTGTTTAGTAAAAATAAACCGTTGCGTTGCACTGTAAATAAAGGTTTATTTCATATTCAACGCAATTTTAACTTACAAATACAGTAATTAAATATTGTCTGTAGTTTCCGCGAGTAGTACGCGTTTAAATGAAACACTCTAACGGTTTAAAACGCTGTATATATCGCAACGGGACAAACGAAACGTCGGGCCGTAGTTTAATATTCTCTAAATAAGTTTAATTAAAAATATATCCCGTTTTAAACGCTGTAAATTAAGATACGAAATTTAAAGTATATATTTTTTTTAAATCAATAATTCCTTTTTAGCTTTAGTCCTTTTTGATTTACTAAGGATGTTTCATTTACTTTATCAATACGGGCATTTTTTGACGGGTCTCGTTGACCTAATGGTAGCAACTCATGGCTAATAATCAACGGGTTGTTCTGTTACCTTTCTGATAAATTTATAATGTTGGATATCTTATACTTTATGGGTTGTGGGAATATTAAAAGTTCCGTCGCGGCCAGGAACCATCGTCCGCAGATAAGAAATCGTGGAGTTTAATCATACTTTCAGTCTGTAGTTCGCTCTACGACGAAGGCCTCCTCCAAATTTTCTCCATGTTTGTTTTGGGCTAATCTTGTACATCCTGGACCTGCCGCCCTGAGAATGTCACCCTCCCATCTCCTATTCTGTCTTTTATATCCTCTTCTTAACACATTAACCAAGTCAAAATAGTACTAATGTTCTGTCTCTATTCTTTTCTAGGACGCCGAAGAACTATTTGTAAGATTTGACACGGACAAGAGCGGTTCCATCAGCCTAGATGAGTTCCTCGTTAAGATAAGGGTGAGTTGCACTGCTATTTTGATGTATGTCATTTTATTCCAGCAGACATTTTATTACAAAAGTGAAATCATGCTTCAAAGAGGAACTCATAATATTGTCTCTATTAAAATACAGTTTTTTTTAGTTTATGCGAGTTGTGCACATTTAATTGAACCACTTTAAACGGTTTAAAACACGAAATATATTAGTTAACTATTTTATATTAGCAGCTGTGGACATGGTGGGATTGTATGTGAAGGGTGTCCCTAATGTCAAAGTAAAAAGTAGCTTAGTAGTCTTTACTGTAAATAAGTTAACACTTTGTGTTGTAAACCGTTAAAAGTAGTCTATTTACATTTTTCTATAATTTAATCGCATTAATACTCAATATCTGCGATGTCATGTACAGACAGACAAAAGAACGAGAAATATTTGGTCTAGTTTATCGGCCTCACTTTTGAAGACTTGGGTTTGTTTTCTCTCTCATATATGTAGTTGAATGTATTCTTAATATAATTGATACCTCTAATTTGTCTAATTTAAAAATTGTCAGCCTCCGATGTCTGAATCTCGGCGCGCTATAGTGGAGCAGGCGTTTAAGAAGCTGGACAAGACTGGTGATGGAATAATCTCCATTGAGGATATCCGAAACGTTTACTCTGTTAATTCGCATCCAAGGTACCTACGATCCCGCCTCATAAACACAAACCCATATACGAATCACTAGACTCAAAATCGGTATGCTAATCTGGATACTCAATGGGTGGTAGAAATGTTAAAATTCCCTCCGGGTCATCACCGTCCACAGATGAAAGAGCCGTCAAGTTATCGTTTCGGTTTCAGTCTGTTGATTTCCGAATATCCAAAGCGAAATAGGTCAACAGCACATCTTCCCAAGATATTATATATGACTGGGGTATTTTACCTTCCAACAAGTGAACTTCATGATTGTCTATCCTCCTCTAACATAAGAAATATTTTTTTTGGAATATAATAATAGGTTACGTTTTATAAAATGACAATGGTACAATGTTTTTGTATTTTCAGGTACATGAGCGGAGAAGAGACTGCTGACCAGGTACTGACCAAATTCCTCGGTAACTTCGAAACGGAGGGCTCTGTCGATGGAAAAGTAAGTAGTAGTTAATTGAATACCTAAATATTCTCATTCCTTATGAAATCATCTGCCCTTCTCTATCATAAAGTGAATTTTCGTTTTTCACCGTGGGGAAAACACAATTCTATGTCCGTTTTACTTATTGGTTTGATTCAAAAAATCAAGTTTAACGACCGAAACAATGTTTTGTTTTTTAAATACAACACTTTTACGGTTTAAAAACCCTTTTTTTTTTTTTTTTTTTTTTTTTTTTTTTTTTTTTTTTTGCCCCCCGTTTTTTTTTTTTTTTGGGGGGGGGGGGGGGGGGGGGGGCCCCCCCCCCCCCGCGGGGTTTTTTTTTTTTTTTTTTTTTTTTTTTTTTTCCCCCCCTCAAAATTTTTTTTTTTTTTTTTATTGATACTTCGGGATTTGAAGACTCACGCTTAACGCAATGCCAGGCAATACGTTTAACCATAGCTACAGAGGCGATCTTACAATTTACGGTAATGTAATATGATTTTTTTTTCAGGTAACATTGGAAGAATTCATGAATTACTACAGTGGTATTAGCGTTTCGATCGATAATGACTGTTATTTTGACTTGATGATGCGCCAAGCTTACAAGCTGTAAGCGGTACTCAATTTGCGTCCACATTTCGACAATTAACACTCAAAAAGCATTTAAGGATCTACCTATGTGTCTTATGTTTAATAAATACTACCTTAAATGTAATAAACCCCTACTTTGGAAGGTAGTTTTGTAAAAGTTTGTGTTTATTAAACGCAAGGCATTGCGGTAACATATATTATACGCACCTTTCCTAAGATGATAATTAATAGTGTTTCTATTTAATAAATTATGTTTGTGTGATTACCAGAATAAATATTTAAATTTTACTTTTTTTTATTTTGTCAAACATTGTGCATTTCCTAATATAATCCACCATAGAACTACGTTTCTTTTGGTATTAAATTAGTGAATCAATTTTTTGGTTTCTTTTAGTCTATAAAATTTCTAGTCTGTATTACACTATGGTTACAGTAGACTAATTTTTAATTTGTTTTTTCCTCTTTAGTGTCATTCTGTCTTTCCTGCGCGTTTATGCTCGATGGTTTTGTGACGTGTTTCAAATTAAAATTTTACAAAAAAAATTATATTATGTTAACATATAAAAAATGCTAAAATGCTAAATTAGTCTTGAATTTAGAAAACAAGTAAGTTATGTTTCTTCTATTAATTTTTATTTAGATTTTTTGTTATAGTACTTACAATGCCTTTTTAAATCTCTTTATCCATTAAAAAATCCAATTCGTGCTCCTTTCAGAAGTTAATCTAATATCTCTTCAAATGTAATAGAAATAATGAGATCTTAAAGACCTAGTTCCCCATCACAATAAAATTCATCGATTTCGTTTCAGAAAATTCAAGATGTGTCGTACGGTGCACGCGCTCCTCCAAACCGGAATATGCGGTATCCAAATGTTGGTTCGTGTCTTCATGACCGTCATTCTGATGATAGAGAACCTAATACGTATGATTCTGCAGACCATGTACAATTTCATATCGTTCGTGCTGCAAATGATCTCACTGATACCGATATGCGCTGTGTTCATGCTGACGGCACGTCTCAAATGCTTCATGTGCGGTGGGGGAGGCCCCTGCCCTGTCAACAGAGGTGGTGCCTGCGACTGTATCATGTCAGCCATCGCGATCATTATCCTATTCTTCATCTTCCGCGCCACGGGTGTTCTGGACAAACTGTTCTACAGCATCGGTTACATCAAGACGAAGAGCACCCAGCTAAGATTTGTTCCGACACCCGGAGATATAACGGAATGTTCCAGAAACGACACAGAATACACTGATATTGAAGAAAGCACCACTGCTGAATTGGTTATGGAGACAACAATGCTTTACGATATGCTATCAACAGCTGCCACTGATGCCGTGGGAGACGAAGAGGAAGGGATGTCTGAGAGACAAACGGACGCACAGACAGCCACACAACATGGTATGCTATTTAGGAAACTATTGCCCACTCCCGATGGGATAAATCGAAATTGGACTACCATAATATCTTATTTTGTGGAATGACGCAGATTGTGATGAAAGTGTTTTGTACGTTGTATTTACCTTGTTTATATAAAATTTTACGAAGTTTAATTTTTTATTACTCCACATATCTACCATAATACTATAAATATACATTTTTGGATCGTTTAATACGAGCTTTGAAGTGTTCCACTTCCTAAATCAATAAACAATCAAATCCTAATATCTAAATATAAAATTGAATTGAATTGAAAACGAAACTAAAGCCTAGAAGTACACGTAAAAATAACTCTAGTCGGGAATGCTATTCTAATTGAACGGGTTTTTATTTTATCAGCCGATAGAAGTTCTGTAGACGGCAGGTATCTACTCTAAGGGGTAAATTATAATTATGGAAAAGAGAAAATGTTTTAAAGTACCGGTAAAATTGTATCTGGCTGAAAGAAAATCTAAGAATGTAAATTGTTACCTGTTGACACGTGCGATCAGTGCAAAATGTTGACATGAGAGTGTATCATGTGAAAGTAGAAAATTAAAAATGGTAAAAATCTGAAGCAAAATTGAAAAAAAAATGAAAAACATAAAATACGACAAAAAAATAAACTCTAAATGAAACGAACACAGTCATCCGACGATGTGCTACACAATATACATGCCTATAGTTTGCACTCTGCAAACAATATCGAGGATCATAATCGCGTGTCTTTTCGCCATAGAAGATTTGATTCGTATGTGCATACACACCGTTCACAGTTACATATCCATAGTCTTGCAGTGCTGTTCTTTAGTCCCCATGTGCCTGGCTCTATGCTGCATGAAGCAGTGTTACACATACGGGCTCTGCTCCTCTGGATGCACACCTAAATTCAACTCCATCATATGCGGATATGGTGCTGTTATTGTCCTAACGATCTTCGTCATCATCCTTATCTTTTACAACACCGACTGGCTTGAATCTTTCTTGACAGATATCGGTTTATATCCGTGTAATTTATTCCGTAAATTTAAAAGCAATGCGTGCCAAATTATCAGCGGGGTCACCATGAATACTACCTACTCAACCCGAGCCTTACATACATCAACTTCTTATCCAGTGTCCGAGCGAACAATGAAGATATACTTGGATAAATATAGAGAGATACAATCCGAAGACGCCGACAACTTTTATGATACCACGAGCTCGTCGATACAGGAATTGGTTGATAAAATTAAGAGTCTTAGCAAAATAGAGTCGAAGCGAAGTTCTCTTCGCTTAATACGCCTGCAGGAGAAACAAATTCAAGTATCGTCACAAACGACGAAAGAAAAATCAACGATTACTTTACCAGAAACTATGAATACAACGTACCTAGAAGAGTATCATAGAAGTGCCTTAGTAAATAAACTGAGAAGACATAGAATTCTAGAAAAGGGACTAAAGGAAGAACTTATTCTTTAATAAAATGTTCAATTCATAAATTCGAATGTACTTTATACTTCACATATTAATTTAGTTATGAATTAAAGTTTTTAAAGAGTTCGTATTTTTATGTAAAGATTAATTTTTGGTACCTACTTCTACAATCGATATAGTTATGACTATAACTGTGCTAATTACTATGTTTGTGTGTTACCGTTAATTATTAGTTCTGTTTAAAACGTAGACCATAAAAACTTTTTGTAAACCAGATAGTCCACGAATTATGACTTTGATGAGTTGCACACATATGACATAATATTTGTTTATTATTATTATGTCAGTAGTTTAGTTTTAAGTTAGGTTAATTTTATTATTTTTATTATGATAGGATCTATTCCAACCATCGACGGTATAACTAAACAAGTAACGGAGTATAATGTATCGTTCATAAGTGGCGATAAACTTACTGTTTGAAATAACGTTTATTGAAGTGGCCTAGTCAGAGGATTAAATTAATAAAGTTCTTGAACACACTCTACAGAGATTTATATACATAACGTACGGAAAATAGCCATGAAGAGTCCTGTACAAGTACGGAGAAAAGATAATAAAACATCTAGTTGGAATTGTAAAACTAGTAAGAAATTTCAACAAGGGTTGAAGCAAGAGCAAAACTTAACAAATCAAGTGAGACAAAGCAATCAGGATTTTAACTCTTATAATACTCAAGGGATTGGTTTTATTGAAGGTTCTAAAAAATTAGAGACTATATCAAATGGTATAACAAATTATACAAATGATTATATACAGGGCGCTAGAAATACTTTTGAAAAAATTAAACCTCCAAAATCTAAAAGTTTTTTTAATGCACCCAATGAGAACAATAACTCACCTAAATTGATTTATAGCGAGAAAAATAAACACAGGAGTAAGGCTATTTTTTATAAAGACATATGTGTCACAGGAGAAAAAATAGCTCTCTGGAAGAAGCTAAAGAATAATATGTCTTCCCTCACATCGACTGTTAATGACTTGAAAATTAAATTATCAAATCAATCAGTTACCAAGAAAAATATGAGAGCGAAAACTAAACAAAGTATAGGAGGAAATAAGTCTACGAAGCACGTCCCTTTCTATCAAAGAATTTGGAATTATTATTGCAAAGTTAATAGCAGTAAAATCCCGGCTTGCCCAAATCTACCATTGCTACAATTTCCTGATATACCAAATTGCCGTTCGTTTGTAAACGGCTGCTGTACAAGCGCTGAAATTATTCACAAGCTATACTATTCTAATTCTTGTAAATGTGTTTTTGATGCAGACGATTTAGATATAAATTTACCAAAAGCAAACAGGTAATTATTGTAAAATCTAGTAGCACAGAGATCAACAAGTCTTGTAAAAACAAAATTGTTAAGTCGCATCGAGACGTTAGTTGCAAGGTGCCTGAGGGATTATGTCAAGACGCTCATACTGAAATTAGTGATCATAAAACTCTTAAAGATGTCTCAATACAATGTCTAGATCAAGAAACTAAAGCACAATGCACTAATGAGATAGTAGTAGAACATAAATGTGTTAGCTCGCAATATTATTCAGATAAGGGTTGTGGTGACACTATCAAAGATTTGAGTGAAACTTGTCCAAAATCTAAATGTTTTCTGCCTTTCCTAAAAAAGAATACTGGCAGCCTGCGAGTGCATGGAAAACATTTGTTTAAGAGAATACATAAAAGTTCGAGACAAAATAAGAATGTACGGTATACACAGACACGTGTGAGCGATAATATTGTAAACTACAAGAACAAAACTTGTAGCACAGTTGGTCCTAAAAAGGTTAAGTCGGCTGGAGTTCAAATTACTTTAGAATGTAATCATGCAAGGAATCCCCAGCTTACAAAAAAGGTAGGTGTGAAGAAAATACTTAGTCATAAATCTTGTTCTGAAAAACCAATACCATTGAAGCATGAGACAAAAGGTACCCAATGTAGTCCAGATAAAAAATCTAAATTTGCTGAAGAAAAAGATAAACAAAAACCCCGAACAATGTTTTGGTCTCGCAAAGCATCGCAAGATTGTAACTGTAATGACTTCGTTACTGTCATAAATCATAAACCTACAAAACATAAGAAATCAGGCAAAAAAGCACCCCAGAAGCCTTTATATCCCAGAAAGAAATTAATATCAATTTGTACACAATGCCCTGAGAAACTTAAAGACTGCTCTAATCTTGGTAGAAATGATAAGCATAAGGTATTACGACGGACAGTTTCTGTTGAGAAATCAGAATATGTAGTGACGACAAAAAAGGGGAAATCAACATTTAAGACAATTGGAGTCCAGTGCACTAAAGCGAGACGAAAAGTCAACACAAACACAGTGTACACTTCGAAATCTTGCAATAATTTATTGAATACGTCTCAATTATTGACCGTTGGGACTCAGCGAAACACCATAGATTTTGTACAACGCCGTTTGAGGCTGAAAAAGAGAGCAAATTGGTCGTTTTTCAACATGAGATCACAAAAGTTAGGTGAACGTTGCACTTGTGTACGTTCACTTATGCATATTGACCCGGCTTACAGAGATTATTGTGTCAAACCTGCTCTTTGTTCACGAGAACTTAAATGCGTAGACCATAAAATTGCACAAAAAACGAATGGTTCTTATAACAGACAGAATTGCGGTGACTTTTGCGATAATGCAAAACTAATTAGGATGTTACAACAGCCGTCAATATGTGTTAAAAAGAAACGCTATAAAAGTCTTGGAGTCCAATGTCATAGAAAACCTTGTTATACTCATCGACGAAATCCGTGTTTTTCTCGTGCTGGTTCCTGTTGCACCAACTGCTCAATCTGTCCATGGAGACAATACTTTCCACCATATCCTTATTTTTGTCATCCAAATTCACTTTGTCAGTTAAAATGCCGGAAGAAGAATTCATGTAGGCATTCAAAGTGTAAAAAAATGCAAAAAGCAGTGCGTATCACGACAAAATAACACAGAAGGCAACTTTTGCTGGTGCCGTTTAAAGAAATCGATTAAATCATTTATCCTCGGTGATTATAATAATTGTGCATGTAAACATAGGTGTCGTCAGAGAAGACCTGATAATCATAGCAATAAAATGTTCACGAAAACAGTACGCCGCATTCCCTTTGAATATGCGTATAGACGCTGGCCGCGTGCTTACCCAGAATGCCTAAAATGTCTTATGGTTTGGAAACAAAATTTACAATGTATCCTTATTTTCATAACCTGGATCTTCTGGTGTCCATTTATAGTTTTTACTGAATTATTAAGGCTTTGCTTTTGTTGTGTGTGTTACAAGTAAATATATTACTAATTACAAATAGCTTTTTTTTATCTTTATTGCCTAATCATATATGTAAGAAAACTTTCAAAGGGAGTTTAATAATTTTATTACTATAGACAAAATTTCCACTTACAATAAGTTAATGCGTACATACAACACAGCACAAGAACGCGCGCACTACTTCCATACACATTATACACGGAGTCCAACACAATAAGGCAAGAAGGAAAAGCAGTAAGTGAAAAAAGTTAGTAAGAAAAGTTAGAAGGCTCAGGCAGTGGGGATAAAAATCGGGGCATAAATGGTAAACACATATCCATGGATGTTTCCTCAGCGTCACCAGCAACATATGACGACAACTATAAAGGGCCTGTTCGTGGCGTTTTCTCATTCTCCTTTGCCTCTTCTTTTTCATCCTTTCGTACATTTGTTTTTCTTCCGGAGTTTGCCCTTTATTTGTAAATACTTGAAACAACGCCGATTCCTCCAATTGATCTGACAGAATATGTACAACATGTGAATCTTGAATGGCCGTTGTAAAGTTAGAGTCTCTCGCCTTCCACGTTGTGCTTATCCAACTTTTTAACATTTTAAAAGAGCCTATCGGGTCTTTCAATTTTTGTTTGACATAGGCATAACTTCTTATCGGTTTAGCAATGATATATACCAGCATAGTCGCCAATCCTGACAAAGTTCCTAAAGATAAATTAACAACTCCTATTATAAATCTGGCCAGACAGTTTGTTTGTCCCTGACTTTGAAGTTTTGCTATTTTTTTCCTTCTTTTGATTGCTTCTTTCTTCGCTCTTTCTTGAATTTTCTTATCCTCCTTCTTTTTCTTTAATTCAGCTTTTCGTAATTTTTCTTCTTGGGCTTTAGTTTTTTGTGCATTTGCTTTCTTTTCTGAGGTTTCTGACCTTGTCCAAAAGCTATATTTTCTTGTTGCCTTAATAACTGGTTCAACTTTTCGCGATTTCTGTTTTTTTTCCTTACCTTTCACTTTTTGATCTGTAAGTTAGGGATACGATTATAATTGGCCTAGAATAGATAAAACTAATTATAATAATTACTGTAGGCATACATGTATAGTAGTAAATCATGTTATCAGATTTATTTTTATATACATACATTATAATGTAAATTTACCTTGCTTTGGCTTTCTTTTTTTATCTTTCTCTACAGGCTTCTTTTTACGTTTCCGAACTGTCTCTTCATTTCTCTGCTTCTTCTTCCTTCTTTTTTTATCCGCTAATTTCTTTCTTCGAATACCTCGAGCATTCATGTCACCACCGGAATATCTCCATTTTCCCAGACTACTACATATTCTAGTCACAAAACACAAATTCGATCTTTCGCGTTCTGCTGGTTGATCCGGAGTTGTTCCGATTGCATTTCTCCTGCCATATATAACATCACCTTGAGCATTTCTATAACCTGGGCATTTACAAGACTGTTTACCAAAACTACTACAAATTCTTGTGCATAAATAGAACCTTGACTTTTTTTTCGGTTCCTCTGTTATTGTTTCATTGGGTCGACATGTTCCTTTATGGCATTCATGTAAAATCGGTGATATTTTCTTACTCAAACATTTGCAATTTAATATTCTATCAGTGTTCTCTGTGTCTCTACAAATCCCCGTTGGGCACATATCGGAAAGAGATGCCTTTTTTAGAACATCATGAATTTCGCCAGTATTTAAAACGTTCATATGATTTTGATCTAAAAGCATTTCAAACACAGGTTTTTCACCATTTGCTGTTATTTTTTTTACGATTTTCCCTCCTTGATTTGTCGACACGCCGGGTGTTTTTATATCGCATGTTCTATCGCAACATTCTATAATTGCTGTTTTTTCGCAGTTGCAATTGAAATGGTCATATTTTCCTTTCCTAGCAGTTTCACAAACTCCGTCTTCACACGTTTCACCTATCCCGTATTTTTTTGCACGCTCTAAACGGGAGGGACACATGCATTTATCATGCTTAGCAACATTACCCAAAGCCTTAACTTTCGTTCTTATTTCGTTAGGATTCAAAATTTGCAAATTTCCCGAGTCTACTCTTATAGCAAACATAGGCTGTACGGGGCCTTTTTCTACTATAACAGGTTTGGGTGCGACATTGTGCTTTGAGTTGAATAAGCACGATATAAGTTTGTTGTATCTTCTCTTTATCCCTCCTTCTAACGCACATGAATAATTGGTACACGTTGTGGTTGTAGCTACTTTCGGTGGCCTTTTTTTAACAGTTTTGCATTTGCAATGATGTTTCTTACCCTCCTCTATATTTGTTTTGCAAATACCTTTTTGACATGTTTTAATTTTCTTTAAATGGAGGTCATCTCCATCCAATACATTTTCGCCAATCAAAGGCTCAACGTGGCCATATATTATTCTTTCTTGATCAGCAACTTTTATTTCGTTTTCAATTCTATTATTATGTTTTCTTCTTGAGTTAATTTCATATGAACGCTTGTTTTTAGATAACTTAAACTTTCTTTTTCTTTGTTTGTCTTCAATTATATCATAAAATATATTTTCAGTTCCCTCGTTTTTATAGTTTACAGGGCTTGAATCCTCCCATACTATGGTAGTGTCGTGGTTTTTGGAGCGTTGTTTTCGTCGCGTTGTTTTGGGCCTGCATTTACAAAGGTTTTGTTTTTTGCTATCGGTTTCTGTGGCGTTCGTTTTAGTCTTGTAACGAAGTGGTGAGATGCTTACATCTTCATATCCAGGAGAAAGCTGAGTGCCTTTCCGAACCTTTTTTTGATTATTCAAGTTTGCTCGGTAGCAAAAATATTCACGACGGTTTTCACGAAACATTTAGGAGATTTAATATTTCAGACAAACGTATAAATTACAGCTATACTTCGCATCCTAATATTGAGATGCGTTGTTGTCCAATTTTTTTGATATTCATTATAATATCATTATAAATAGCATTTTAAAACGTTCACTTAAAATTTTATAATACCAAAATGATGCTTCAAATTTAGATTATATATTGACTACATTTAATGACTAAAGACTAGATGTGACATTGTAATACCTTTTTCTTACACGTTTAAGTGTACCATAGTGACAATATCATCCCGTTTTTATAACCTTCAATTTTGGCACAGACTGTGGAAAATGTATTGACATTACCTATGACAAACGTCATACACGTCAACCTCCAATGTCAGAAGTCAGTCGATTTCCGTTCGCGGGTTAAGCAGATGTGTTTTTCGTGCGCTAATTTTTAATTGATAACGATATCTTCGCCAATCATTTTAATTTAAACAGGATCTGAAATTTTATTATTTTTTAAAACTCAATATATAGTGTTCATACAAAGTTTTTATTTCACGTAACACGGAAGTTCTGTCTGAATCCAAAATGTTTTCCAGTTATTTTATATTTGCTTTAATCTTCGGTAAGTTTTGTCTAATTATTATGTACATTCAATTATATTTCAATGTCTAATTTACGATAGCCTTAAAATACCATTCCTTTAAAATAATAACGTAACGTTCAAAAGGTAGTGCTGCAGTAATTAAATCTTTGTACCTACATCATATTTCCAAAACGTTTCGCGATTATTGCTAGTATAAGACTGAAGTTTGTTGTGCAAGTGAAAATCCAAATTTTTATGAGAAAATAACTTATCTCCTTTATTCTAGGCCTGGTTCATTCACAAGGTGAACCATCCATAGACGAAGCTCTTAATTCATTACCACCTGAATTGCAAGGGAAGGTTGAACAGAAGCAACTCGAAGCCATTCAAAACAAGTCAGTGGAGATCTTCAAAGAAAAATGTGAAAAAAATGGTGGTCCAGGTGCCTATGAAAATGCTGAGGTGATTATATATTTTGACAGCATACCTTTTACATTTTAGCTCAAATTATTTATTATGTTTTTAAAAGATTTAAACATATAATCTCAAAATATAGATATAGGCTACAGAGTTGGTAAATAACTATTTACTTCTAGCTAATCTTTGCTGGCTTTTGAACTTAATATAAAAAAATATTTTTTTAGGAGTCTGTTAAATAATTAACAGATTTTGAGATAGAAGATACAGTTCAAATAACACTTTTATTCATATTGTAAAAGTTTCATACATTTTAAGTCATTATTTTTTTACATTAACATTGGGAGTAATTACGCTATTATCTAATCAGGCTTATTGATATTGTATCAGAAGTAATTTGATTTAAGGAATGATTTTAATAGGTCGGCCAGTAATTATTAAAAATGATTACATATTCTTTTAATTCATTCATTACATAATGGTGAAGTTCTGCTTTGCGATACTGATTTAAGTTATTTAGTTGATTACTTCTGTGTTTTGGCTACAAATTAAAACAAAAATAAATTCTATTGTTTAATAGAATTTATTTTTAAGAGTTTTCTACATATTTTTACTTTTGTGACCTTGCACTTTTAACTGTTATAAAGTAAGGGCAAATAAAATCATGTTTTCATTTATATATGAGTTATTACATAATGAGTTATATCATAGCCCACTTTGTGTATGTTCAAGACAAACCACAATTAGTGAACGCTTAGTAAAAAACAATCAAGCGAAATCAACTAGAAAAACAAGTTTGTGTTTGTAACATAATTTACTCGCCTCTAACCTCAAACACGGCAAAATCAATTAGACATGCAATTTAATCTGCCAGAAATGATAACAAAGAACTTTGCTAGTCTTACTTCCGATGTCTTGCTCCATTGTATTCAATTAGTTATGATCTATTAATATTTATAAAAAGTGTTTGCCCCCTGTGGGGCATGGGGTGACTTATCTATATCCGTTTCACTGATCACTTTTATTTATATTTGATTTGAGACTTTAGTGCCTAGCCCGACCGAAGATTGTTTTTCCGGGATTCAAATCCAGAACATGTTATGTTTATAATGACTAATAAGCTAAATAAAGACTATATTTAAATAAAACACTGTTTAGGTTTAAAGCGCGAGATATATTGAACTTTATTAAATAAAAACGTTTCGTAATATCTATGATAATTGTTGCAAAGCGTAGGAAGATATTGTCCCAAAGATTTTACCTATTATGTATTTTGGGATAATTAGCATATAGCATGCCCATTTTTACCTTCAAAAATTATAATAGAAAACCTAGAAGGCTTCGACTGGAAATCTGTATATTAAATGTGTTGTAGGAATGTTGAAATTGTGTCAAGTAAATTTTAATAATAATAATTCGACAGTGCATCTTGTTTAGATTTTATATGGCTGGGGCTCACGTATCATCAAGTGCACTTCATGTTTGACTGTCTTCCTTTATAATAAAAAAGGCGCAAATCTAAAATAACGCACGTGTACTCTAGTGTAGGAGTAAATTATTTTTTAGTGACCTATGAGCATCTTTAACCACGGTATAATAGAGAGGGCCCGATAAGTAGTGACGGGCGGTTATTGGAAAATTACAGCAGGTAACATTTACGACGTGACCGTGTAGGATATAGCCTCTTATCGAATTTAATTTGTCATGATAAATATTCCAGTTAGTCGTGAGTCGTGCTACTGAATTTTACGATTGCGTGCGATCGTTCGCTAATTCACTTGATATACACTCTATTGAACGAGTTATGTGTTGCTATTTTGAACTAAGTAACGACAATGTAGTTTACGCCACTGGTAACCACTAGATCAAACACTTTTAACCGTTAAAACGCGAAATATATCAGCAAAACATCTAAAACGCCGTACTTAGAAATAAGAAGTTGATTTTTTTTTTTATGTCAGAGGCAGATAAGCAAGGAGTTTACTTGATGGTAGGTAACATACCCCAGCCATATAAAATCTAAACAAAATGCGCTGTCGACGAATTTGTCTTTAGATATTCGGAAATTCATAGACTGAAACCGAAAAGCGATTAAAGTTCACACTTTTGCGTCTGTGGACGGTGGCGGACCCGGGCGGAATGTCGATATTCCTACCACCCATTTTCAGATTTAAAGAAGTCCAACATGATTTAGAAAAAATATCAATTAAATATAGGTATACAAAGATTATACATGCGTGTATTGTAGTTTTAAATCGTTTCGTGTTTTTTTTTAATACAATTACTTAATTTAAATAAAACACTTTAACGGTTTAAAACGCGATATATTAGTTAAACTTATTTAAAAATGATTTTTAACTTCGGCCCGACGTTTCGGATGCTTTGCAGTTGCCGTGGTCACGGCACAATACAATTACTTAAAAAAAATTATTGCACTACGACTTGAGATATGCCGGGAGTTTGGGGTGTTGTCAGCCAACATCGCCTGAACATTTAAAGCTCGTTTTAAATAGTTTTCTTTCCATGTGTAATACTAACTACCGTTTCTAGTTTGTTTGATTAGCTTCGCTTGCATCGTAAATTATGAAATACTAGCTGTGCCCGCGACTTCGTCCGCGTGGAATAGTGATTGCTTTGTCTTGAGTGAGTGCTTGGGCATCCACTCAGCTATTTTATACTATAACAGCCCGTAACAGCTAAGTAATAATAATGTATTCGTCAGACCCATGAACCATATTTTCAAATAAATATAAATAAATTTAAAACTTCAAAGCTGCCAAGAATGATATATGCTATAAAAAAGATAAGAATATAAATCAACGCCTTTGATATAATTTCTAAATTACGTAAAATATAAATTAAGTATTGTCTAAAGTTTACGTGAGTGTTAGATACACATTTAAATAAAACACTTTCAGCGGTTTAAAACGTGAAATATATTATTTGTCCTATTGTTAAAGCAAACTAATATATTTCCCGTTTTAACCCATTAAAAGTGGTTTAACAATAGTCCTTTTAACAGCCAACAATTAGTTCGCATTGTTCTTAAATTATGTACTCCGTACATTTAATTACTTGTTTTGACTTCGATAGTGGGCAGTGTAATATTAAGCCACCATTTTTACCATATTTTATTACATAACACAGACATTGTTTCTTTACTGACCTTCTAATGAATTAAGTTCCATAAAAAAGGTAGAATGAAAATAAGTGCTTGACAGTTGAACTTTACCCCTTGTTTCAATGTTACTCGACAGAGGTAGTATTAACGAATTATAATAATGAAGAAGTATTAAACATGACGCTGCTAGAGACAGAGTGGCCTAATAACGAAAAACATGACTTTTAACATAATAATTAGCTTCGGCGAAAATGAATTTGTACTATTATTTGTGTTAGAATTATATTAAATTCTCAGTCACTGTGCTCTTATAGATTAACATTTTTAGACCGAAAATATCGCAAGTCATATATCGGTAATGACAAGACCGCCTGGCAGTAAGCTCCTTAGATTAATAATAATAAATTCACTACAATGTATAAGTTTATATAAGACATGTTAAAAAACGCCGGACAAAATTTCTTGGGTAATTTTCTCAGTTATGTTGCTCTTTTGAACACTCCGTAGAATTACGACGTGCAGACAGACAAACAAAAAAAAATCTGACTAATCTAAATATTTTTTAAAATTTTAAGGAGAATTAAGTTTATTTTATATTATTTATTCATAAAATTGCAGTTAAGCTACTCTGCCTCTAGCGGACCATGTTATTTTTTAGAATAACATGGTCCGAGGTCCAACACTGCGAGGTGAAATCCATTCGGCACTTAATATTGCAATTATAAAGCGTTTTAAAATAAATATTATGGTATTTCTTTCATACAAAAAATCTAAATAGATCACCAACGCATCTCGTTACAAGTTACAGGGCTAAGACATTTCACCTTTCCTAAATTGAACCCTACACTATATTATTTATGCATACTACTATAAGTAGATACTAGTATAAGTTACGTAACGCTGGAATGTTTGAACGCGACATCGGAAATCAAGTTTTAACTAAACCTAGTTAAGTTAGGTAATACGTATACTTATTCAAAGCTAAGCTCTGCATTTAGCGTGAGTGCTCTTGGGTTCCAAACCCATGCAGACAATATCCATTCTTGGCTAAGCAACACATGATTGTTATCGAATCTAATCTATACTAATATATAAAGCTGAAGAGTGTGTTTGTTTGTTTTAACGCGCTTATCTCGGGAACTAAGGGTTCGAATTGAAAAATTATACTATATAACTATAACTAATAGATAATCAACGGGTCGTGTGTTTGCTCCCAACCAATTCCAATATTTTTCTCATCAACTTATAATATTTCTGAAACATGTTGGACTTCGTCTGGAATCTGGATATTAATTTTAAAATTAATGGGCGGTAGGAAATGAAATTACGTCCGTGTCACGAACTTCTCCACCACGTCCACAGATGAAGAAAACCGTGAATTTTAAGCGTATTTCGGTTTCTGTGGATTTCCGAATCAAAATATTATATAGTAAGCCATTCTTGATTGTCCTCATAAAAAAAATAGCTCATAGGAATCGCTATTTATGTATGAGTTATATTTTTTGCTTGGTAACCGATTCAATTCTAAATATCAAAACCTTCAGAAGTCCTTAAACCCATCTGGCGTTCTCTGTACCGGTTTTCAAGAACCCTTGATTGACACCCTAGATTGAAACATCTGCCCTAACAACCACCGAACTGTGAAGTATTTTGTCGAATAAGGAAATTTAAAACCGTCACTTAATCACCTTAAACAAGGTCATATGCTTAAAGATGTCGCGAGTCATGTAAAATACGGTAATGGAAATTCACTGAGGTCTGTAAACTGCGCGCGTCTCACCTTACGTCGCGGAGTGAAGACTTGTCAACAGGAAATCTTAGTACTGTCTATACTAATATTGGAAAGCTAAAGAGTTGGTTTGTTTGAGCGTGCTAATCTTAGGAACTACTGTTTTTTTTGTATTAGAGGTTTTATCGAGGGAGGCTATAAAACATCGAGCTGCGACCTATAGGAGTGAAGGAAAAGGGGGAAAAACGAAAAAAACGGTGAAAATTATTCATCTCTCAGGGTTTTCGTTGCGTGCGCTGCGAAAACGGTTCGATTACAATATTGTTTCCTCTTCAAATAATCCAAAAAAAGACCGCGACGATGTATCTTTTAAAATAACCTCGTAAGAAAGCCGGGACCGCAAGCAACATCGTTGGTAACAGATATAGTTTTTAACGATGAGGAAGAGGTTTTTATTCTACGCGGACGAAGTCGCTGACACAGCTAGTCTGTTTATAACAGAAAGAGCGTGAGTATGGGATTCTGTGAGTAGGAGGTGCAACTTTTGGGCTCTGTAACTTTGCTTCATGGATGTACGTATTTAGTCTTCCGACGGAATGGATTTCATCTGTGTTTAGGCACTATGAAAGGAATTTCGCTATTTCCGGCGGAGATCTAAGTCAAGATCCGTTCATATAAGAATTCAAAAATATTTGGCCACAATTTATATACCATACATACCGAACACACGATACATTTGTTTATTAGTTTCGTGTTATAAAGGTAATTTGAGGTTTCAAATTTGCAACATGAACATTTGAATTCCATTTATGTGATTGTAAGCACATTCCTCCCGGGTCATTGTTGTGTGAGAATACATAAATATGACAGTATTCTATTCAATAAACAAGCTGTGCCAGCGTCTTCGGCCGCGTAGAATAGTTATTTTGGGCATCGAAATTTGTTTTTACAAACCTCGTCATCTGTATAGATTATATAGTTGTTACCCACGATTTCGCGCACCCGTCGTTCTTGTAAGTTAATTTTAATAAATAGACATATTATACTGCGGGTTTTTAATCACTTAAAGATTAATCATTCTTTTGGACATCTTTTTCGCACCGCGGCAACAAAAAACTGCCTAAGATGAATAAATTTAAATACTGTCTATAGTTTACGCGAGTAGTACACATTTAAATAAAACACTTTAACGGTTTAAAACGCGATATATTAGTTAAACTTATTTGAAAATGATTTTTAACTTCGCGTTTTAAACCGTTAAAGTGTTTTATTTAAATGAATAAATTTCCTCGTTTTTTCCACATTCCTCACTGTTTCTTCGCTCCTATATTCTTCGCCTTCCTCAATAAACTTTCTAACCAACACAAAAATAAAAATTCAGTTCAAACCAGTAGTCCCAGAGCTTAGCGCGCTCAGACAAACAAACTCATCAGCTTTATACATTAGTATAGATATAGATAATAGACCTAGTAAGCAAAAACAACATTAAGATATTGTTGTGCCCTTGAATATTCAAAAATACATATATGTAATCACTGATGTTGGTAATTTATTAAAATTAATTCTGCTAGTTGCTAGTAACACGATTGAGACGATAAGATTGTACATAATGAAGTGTTAATTATAATTGGTTATACAAAAGTTATTCTCAATATGCTGTTAAGGTTAACCAAATGCTCGCGATGTTATCGAACATTACCAGCGGTCATGCTTGCACTGAGCATGCTTGTCGATCACAGTGCTCGATATTCGCAGTCTATATGTCCAATGTGAGATTGTGTTCCTACAGTATGACAAAATAATTGCTCGATAACGTAACGTAACACTTCGAAGGTCTTCGTAACACTAAGGATTCGCAAAAATCGCCAGTCTGGTCCTCGGATTCAAAGCGAGCAACAACGAATGCTCGATTGCATTACACTGAGAGCATTTGATCTATACAACTTTATATGAGACCTCTAGAGGCAGAGTGGCCTAACTGCAATTTTAAGACTGAGCACAGTGACCGAAAATTGTCAACGTAATTGTTACACAAATAATAGTCTAAATTCATTTTCGCCGAAGTTAATTGCGCATTCTTACTTTCCTCCTTATTGAAAATAATGTTTTTTGTTATTAGGCCACTCTGCCTCTAGCAGCCTCATATGTGTCAGATTACTTTAAATGTCTATAACGCAAGGCATCGGTTATTTGATTTCATAAGTTAGGAATATCAAAGAAACAACACATAAATACGTTGCTTTGCACGCGGTTTGAACTTTGACCCTCGAACAAATATGTGCTGTGTTTTTTGTCGTCACTTGTTGCTAACGTTTTTTCACATGGAATGTTAAGTGGAGCGTATATATGTTATATGTGTGTTCATACACATTTTTTCAAATTTATTACAGCAACTAATTTCATAATTAGTTGCTGTAATATTAAAAATTACGACACGGGCGAGACTTGAACCGGAACCACGTCTCGTCTCGTGCTGCTGGTCAATCATCGTGTTTTATTAGTGTAGCCCTTTTATTTGATATTTTAAAAATATGTAATCCGCCATTTTGTATCGGCCGCCATCTTAGATTTATAATGTTATTGATTTATTATATTGTATTGTCATAAATTAAATGTGTGTACCAAATTTTATATCAATCTCACAACGGGAAGGTGCTTAAATTTCAATTTCTAATTTTGACCCAAATAAATAAAATCCGTACGGGTCGAGCTAAATAAAACCGTTTAATAAATTAATTACCAGTTTTATGAGGCAAACCGCAAGCGAATAAAATCAAATCGAATTTTTACTAGGTCAAGGAACTACTATCGAGGGTTTATCAACTATTATCTTTAATATGGACGATCCTATATCAACAAAGTGGCCTTTGACCATCCGGTATCGTGAAGTAATTATAAATACAAACAATGTAGTTTTCACCTAGTGATATTTATTAATTTCAGTTGGGAACTTATTTAAATTCGCAAAACATTACATTAGGTTCTAATATAAGTAAAAATTATGCGTATTTAATTATTTCAAATTTATGGAACTCGTCCTAAAAAATAATGTATTTTTTGTAACCTATTCATATTTAAGAAAGAACTTATATTCAATTAATAAATAATAAAACATTTCTAACGATTTTAAAAGCGAAATATATTGGTTAAACTCCCATCTTTTCTTTCCATCGTTTTCCAAATATCAGCTATATCGAAACAGGTGGCGCTAGCAGAGCAGATTTGACCTTGAAATTAGGGACTTCCTCTTTTTAGGTGCACCCGAAACTTCGGGCTGTAGTTAATATAATTCTTCGTGTCAACTACGGATACTACTTAAAAAATATTTGCTTACAGTCAGCGTCCAAAGGCTTTTCGACTTGCATATCAGCTCTCGTGAATCCAGGTCAGCTGCAGCAGGAGATCGACGAAGCGAAACCCAAGGGACAAGTGGATGAGGTGTTTAAGAAGTGAGTACATTTTGTCTGCAAGTGACGAAAAGAACTGTTTTCGAAGCGCACGCACCGAAAACTTCGCCCGTTGTTTCCACATTTCTCTCTTATCTCTGTTTCTTTTATTCTGCTTCTATTGGTTGTAGCCTGATGTTTTCTAGCCAAAAGCCTACCTCGATAAGTAGTCCAACCAACTCAATTCGAACCAGTGGTTCCAGAGATTAGCGTGGTTAAATAAACAAATAAACTCTTCAGCTTTATAACATTAGTATAGATATTATAATATTAGTATTACGTTACGTGCATATTTTTTTAAATAAAACGCATGTAAAGTCATCTTATACTTAAATATGTGATAGTGTACACGTCCTAAGGCATATTACTCATACAATATGTCTATAGATTTTGTCCTTTATCACTCAAAGTATATTAGAAAGGGACAAAGCTAGATTGTCACACTCAATGTTCCAGATACTGTGACAAAACGCCCGACTTCAGGAACTGTTTCATGAATATGACTGATGCGGTGAAACCGTGCTTTTCGGAGGAAGAACGAAACGGCTTGAAGACTGTCAACAATATCACCGAACAGTTGGCTGAGTTCATCTGTTTCAAGGAAGGCGACAGGATTGCGCGTGAGTGATGTCTTATTTAAGTCGAAATGAAAAGTCATTATTCACGTAAGGTAACTAGGTAAACTTATGGACGTCAAACCAGGGAAAAACTAAAAACTAATTTACGAACAGCTCTCAAGTCACGATTATTTAATTTGACTTCGGTGAATTTTGTATAAGGGGTCAAGGTGCATTATGTTTCCGGTAATAGATTCGTTAATATTTGGCGTTACAAAATTACTTTAATGGCACAGGCTGATAACATCCGCTGATATGATAGTCCCTGAGGCTGCGGAAGTACTTTTTTACCATCAAATGTTGGAGGCTATTTTGGGATTTCAAATTATATTTTTAAACATTTCAAATCATTCTATAACTACCTCTTCTTATTTTAGAATTGAAATTCGTCAAAGAAAATAATTTGATGACATCCCACATCATTAGTTGTTTTGGGACTTTGTATTCTATTTTTAAAATACTCTAAAACTACGTCATACCCTCTTTATTTAAAAAACAAATTCGATTTTAAAAACTTAAAGCAAACAATAAGATGAAACTGACGTGTTTTTCGTCTCTGATTGTACAGTTAAAGTTACTGTCACAAAACAGTGCCGCGAACTCGTCTCTATCTGTATTTTGCCCTCTTCCTGTTATCTGTGCCCTCAGTCCGATTGGAGGGTCTGTCTTTATTGTTTAGCGCTATATATATAGGTACGTATTACGTTATTTGGCCAACATGAGACCTACTAAAGTTCCACCAAAAATGATATATATCTATTGAATTAATCACTATGTAAAATTAAATATTAATTAACGATTGTTTTTAAGTCTAGCGTAAAATTAAAATTAAAGCACATTCGGTTCATCTTTGGATATAATTACGAAAGTATTATTGAATTAATCGTTACTGACTCGTCGATATGATGTTATTTCCGTGTGATGCCTTGCCTAAGTCCTCAGAGAATCTATAGACGCTGAAGTGATTCATAGGAAGCAAGTTATGATCGTGACAATTATTCGTTAATGCTAACCAGTTAGTGCTAATAATTAAGTAATATTGTTTTCAACAGAGATTGCACAAAAAAAGATGCGAAGAACAATAATCGGTAAGGGTGTGTCAAGGGAAACACTTTGGGTTCATTATGAAAGAGTTCACGCTTTTCAAATATAATTATCGAAGCAGTTTTATCTATGTATGTGGTTTAATAAAACACTTGTAACGGTTTAAAATGCGAAATACATTACCTATCCATCTTCAGTTACCCCATTATCACGGCTGCAAAGCATCCTAAACGTCGGGTCGTAGTTAAAATTTATTAAAAATAAGTTATTAAACATATTTCTTGTTTTAAACCGTTCAATGTTTTATTTAAATGTGTACTATTCGCGTAGAGTACAGACAATACTGTATATTATGTTGATATTTTTATGTAAACTTTTTTGTTAAGAACAAAATATTGACATTTATAATTAGTATTACTTTGTTCCAACCATTTTAGCTATATCTATGATATAATCAATCAAAAAATTGATATATTTGTGTAAATAGAATATCCGCTAATTTATTTAACCTTCTTGACATTTCGTCTCTCTATAGGAAACTATATCAAGCTTGTCGTCCATCGTACAAAGCGATGATTCGTCAAAATTAAAATAACTAATTTATTTAATGAAACTAAAAATATTAACGACTAAATAATATCTTCTGTTTCATTTATAACTCGTAGTACAAATAAAGGTATTTATAAAACACTGTCTGTAATTTACGCGAGTAGTAGATATTTAAATAAAACATTTTAACGGTTTAAATCGCGTTTAAACCGTTAAAGTGTTTTATTTAAAAAAGGTATGTATATACATCCGACTATACACTATACTTGCTTCTTAATGTGTTTGAAGCAATATTTCCTTGTATTGTCTCAGATTCGAGTTACTCGGAAGTAATAAAGTTGTGTTGAAAGAATACTTAGCAATGATAAAGCTTCCTTCTACTTATCAAGTACGGATGTTTATTCAAACGACATTGTTTCAAGATGTCGTTGGTGTATCTCCAAGTATAATGTCTATAAAGTATTGAGTTGTGTTGCACTTAGTTTTGTTTTCTTAAGCACAAGGGCGGTAAATTTTGGGAAATGCTATGGTCATATTAGTTAAGGCTAATTATATGGGAAATGCGACTACAATCTTAGATAAAAAATTGTTTATAGAACAAAAAAAAGAGTTATAATTATTTCTATATATTATGACTGTCGTCCGACAATCAAAATCCAATCTATCATTATACACGGACGCAGGAATGTGTTTGTCCCATGCCCAACAGCCAAAAGCGGGATTTCACTCTTACGGCTATAAGTCCGCCCTTCTTGCTCTCCAAAAAACCCCTGCTCTCCAAACAAAACTTAATATGAATACTTGAATATTATATATCTTTCAGTGTTCATTGCCGAGAACGGTCCAGAATGCATCCAGGAGAAACAAGAGGATATCCAGAGGTGCTTCAACAGCACCATCGGTACGTCCTTCAATATTGGCGAAGGCAACTTCACCGCTGATGCTATGCCCAAAATCGCTTTTGGCGTAAGTATTACCGTTAGCTTTAGTTTGACAGTGTATAGTCGGGTGCAAAATATACCAAGCAACCTCTTAACATTTCCCACCGCTTTGTAAGCCATAATCTTGTCCTTGATTCTCATAATATTCGTAGGTGACATCAGTATTTTACAGTTAGTCTTAAATATTGTCTGTAGTTTATGCGAGAAGTGCAAATATAAACTTTTAACGGTCGAAAACGGGAAATGTTTTAGTTGCCTTATTACCGGAGTTAAATACCTTAAAGATAAGGTAAGTACTATATTTCGCGTTTTTATAGAAAGGTCCATTTCAATTATTGTATTGATCTAAAACTGATATATATATAGATTTCCGACTATACCTTTCCCCATAATTACTACACAAAAAGCTCGCTGAACCATTAACACAATGGTGTTTGCCCATTAAATAAGTGTTAACGAAAATAAACAATATTATCTATGCTGATACCCTGATTGTGATAATCTGTGTACGCTAATCAGATACATTAAATGGATCCTGGATATACGTTTAAATTTTTGCCGAAGGGTGCCAATCCACTTATCACATTAGTTTTAATAGAATGCGGCTTTTTCTGGTTAGGAGTACAGGTTCCAGGTTCTGATTATATTTGCAAAATTTCATTAAAAACAGCCGAGTAAATACTGTCTGTAGTTTACGCGAGTAGTTGAAACAAATAAGTTTAACTAATATATATCGCGTTATAAACTGTTAAAGCGTTTTATTTAAACGGCCGAGTAGTTTAGGTGCAAGAATTTTAAGTAAAATTCTTGCACCTAACCATAACAAAAACATCTTATTATACTTAAAAACACTTTTGAATCACAATAACTACGAAGAAGGTGTAAATACTCAAAAGATATTATTGTCCTTGTCCATAGCTTATAATGGTGTCATTAGCAGTGTTTAAATTTAATAATCGTCTTTTGTAATTACTGATAACGAATAGCAGTTACCTGACATCCTTCAGATTTTCATTTTTCTTAACAAGTCACTGTCAATTTACCTTGTTCCTTGTATCATAATAAACAAACCGGAGAGAGTTTAATTTTATTCGTGATGAAGGACAACAGATAAACATGAGGTTCGTTTGATGGTTTCCGAATGTCTGAAGCCAAAATAGGTCGATAGCGCCACCTTTTTTATATGGCTGGGATAATTTATCTACTATCATGTGAACCCTGTGTGTTTTCTGTTCTCCTTTCTCATAAAAAAGTCAATAAGAGGCGCTTGCGCAAACCCACAGACTTGAATCGAAACACAATGAAACTTCTCGGCTTTTTTATCTGTGGACAGTAATTGGAGTGGAATTTCGATATTCCTACCACTCATTTAATATCTAGATTTCGTCAACATTTCGGACCATACCACGCCATTGTACCAACGAAATTGTGCGCAATATTTATAATCCTGACGTTCTACTTTTCAGGAAAAAGAATGTGGCCAATTTACTGAGCTGCAGAAGTGTGTGGTGATCTCGCTAGAGACCTGCTCGTCGCCAACATCTGCCAACATCGTCGAGTCTCTCTTTAAGTTCATTCTAAAGTCTACGCCATGCAAGGAGTTTATTGTAAGTACTTTATATTTAATTGTAGTTATATATCTCTGATTTTTCGAGATTCGAACTAAGGGCTTCTTGGCACTAAGATAGACTTATTGTCTTGAACAACATTTAAGACAGTACATAGGTGAAACGCCGGGTGAGTAGTCAGATATAATTAATGCATCAGACAAAGTCGGTTATCTTTGTTTTCTGTTTAAATTTTTGTTACAACCTAGTAATTTTATAAATATATCAATAATTTCTTCTGATATACATGTATAGGTTTATAATTCTGTTTTAACTTAATACTAAAGAAAGTAGGTTTTTTAATTATAGATAGTCTCTGAAATATATCTTTTACATTCCTGTAACACTGTGACAGACTTAGGAGTGTTGAATGGTAAGAACATGTCAAAGTTCAAACGGCACAATACCTTAATTTTTAGAATTGAATATGCTAACAAAATTGCAAAAATGACTTTGACATGTCAAAATTAAAACTACATGTCATTATCAAATGGCATCTGGTTAATTGGTCTTGGTTTTTCATATATATTTAAAAGAACAGTGTATGTTTATTCAAACATACTTTTTACTTTTTAAAATTAGGAACTAAAAAATATTTTTACTAATACAATATTAATAACGCATTTAAATTGCTAATAGGCAAGGGATGCTGCAAAAAAGAGAGCTCAGAGCGCAGTAAGTTCTTAAATAGTGTGAAGGTTTTGTCTTATATGTCTGGGCGCAAATTTGTGTCTGCATTATCATTTCATATGGTTAAAGTCATTCCACAACCACAGGCAGGTTTAGTCTTTATACAATATAGTTTGTGATTTATCGTTTGTGCGATTTTTCTTTTGTTTTTAGTTTTTTATTATGAATTTTAGGTTTTTGACATATATATATCATATATAATGTTATATCTTATATATAAAATGTGTCACAATATTCTAATACCATACTTCTATCGTATCCTATCCTTAGTTGCATATATATTCCCCGTCTGAACACTTCTAATTGTTGGGGCACGGGGTTTTTCCCCAAAAAAATTTCCGCCCCAAGAAAAACATAATGGTTTTTTACAATAAAGGAGCTTAGATAGCTTAGAAGCGCCGCTTTGCAAAGGGTGCCCTACCCTAAATGTTCAGATATCCAGACTATGTTTAACATGGACCGAACCCACGACCCGTGGATTGTTATTACGTAAGGTATATTGCTACCATTAGACCAATTTTGTATTATAAACCATTGTATATTGTTGTTATTATACATTATGTATAGTGTTGGGCTTTTAGTTTAGTTAGCTTAAGAAGCATTAGGTCGATTGTATCTACAGCAGGAGGATTTAGTTGCTTGGATTATATGTATATCCAGTATAATATAGCACAAATACTTGGTTACGGAGCTTAATACATGTCCGCTTCAATAGTTTGTCTTTATTGTCAGCTTTCACTGCACCCTCTTTATTTCTATTGTTTTTTTTTTACAGCAGGAAGAGAAGAAACCAAACTCTGCCCACAGCTTCGCACTCAGCGGTTTGGCATTAAGCGCTGCTGTTTTAAAAAGTATCTTTTAAATGTTGAGCCAAGGTGTCTGAGCAAAATTGTGCTTCGCTGCCAAAAGTTCTCTAATACAGATTTACAGCTTCGTTTAGAAAAATGAAATTATATAGATATTTGGTAAAAGTAGAACAGCGCAGCGCTAAAACGTCGTTCTTGTTTGAATAAGCTTTAGTAATTTTTTCAAAGTCTGTTTTTTGGTTTAAAACAGAACCTAAAAGTCATGACAATAAAACGATTTTGTGACAGACATTTAGGAAATTCGCTGGTCCGAAATATAACGTTATTAAAAATTAATGTATACGAAACACCGTGTTTAACAAGAAACAAAAATATTTTACAGTTGTCATAGTTTTGTCTTCCGAGTGGTTGTACATACGTTAATGTGTTATTTATTTTAGTTAGACTCTTTAAGAAAACCATTTCAATTAATTAAACTTCACTGCTAACGGCACTGTAATACTCTTACAGTATTTTTGTAATTTATCTACAAGGGCTGTAGCTGTAGTGGCCAAGGGGCTGTAGCGCCACATAGATAGTGGCGCTACAGCCCCTTGGCCTAGTCAAGTATAGACCTCCAAACCTTCCTATATTAGGCCAAGTGTACCCAATTTCTGGCCTTTAAAATCCAAAGGTAGCAGTTGGGCAGGACCCGACGTCATCTAGCTTACGTATTTGTGCTTACCTCTATCACCATCAGTGCTGCCATCTAGGTGTTTCCACGGTAATCTCTCATTTCAACAAGGGTCACAGTTCAGCTCTTATTTGAACATCCGGTCAATTGTACAGCTGGTGTAATTTTGACGTTGTTACGAATTCTAATTAATTAACTCAGCGTGGTGGCGTTAACAAACAATAAACAATATTTTTTATTGCTATAAAATATCTATAAAACTGATATATCTGTTTATATAGCTATAAGCATAACTACATTCCTCTAGCAAGCTTTACCAGACATGTCAACATATCGTATAGTTAACCATATCGCCAAAACGTTGCCAAACCCCAGCTTCCATCCGTATAATATTAAGTAATGTCTATTGTCCATATTTTATTATCTGTATTCCATAGACTATAGAGTAGGTGTTGAAAAGCGGCATTTTATTGTCCTTATTTTTGTGCTGAACCTTTAAATGTAAGAGGAATGTTGAGATAAGTCCAAATGTATTTTATCATAAATTGCTCAGCCATCTTATTATTTTGGCATCTACTTCATATAAGCAGCTTAAAATTATAATTTTTAAATTTCTCGATCTAAGTTTTTATTGTATTTTTTAATGCTTATACCTTTTTGAAATTTTATTTGTATACCATTAATTATACACTTTATATAGATTTTTTTCCTAATTATTTCTAAGAGGTGCAACGAATTTTTCATGTGTATATTTTTTGTACATTACACATAGTTTGTTATTGTATAATTACAGGAAGGAACGAAGAAGAAATGAGCGAAAATATTATCTTTTAATTATTTGTGATAATTTGGGTGTTGCTAAATTAAAGATTAATTTTTATAGAGATGGTAATTTTATTAATGAATTCTTAATGTTTATTTCCAATATTAACATTTATTTATCATGTCTTATTTGATTATTATTTATGTTTCGGAATCATTGCAACGTACAATAAGAAGGTAATGGGTTAATGAATTCTCAGTATTCGCTTGGGGGGACTTTAAACAAAACTTTAAAAAAGACTAAAAAAAGACTTTTAAATAAAACACTTTAAACGGTTTAAAACGCGATATATTAGTTAAACTTATTTGAAAATGATTTTTAACTTCGGCCCGACGTTTCGGATGCTTTGCAGCAGCCGTCTCACCGTGACCACGGCTCCGAAACGTCGGGCCGAAGTTAAAAATCATTTTCAAATAAGTTTAACTAATATATCGCGTTTTAAACCGTTTAAGTGTTTTATTTAAATGTGTACTACTCGCGTAAACTATAGACAGTATTTAAAAAAGACTTTAATATAAAAGATCGTATTCATACAAAACTTATACGTTTATTGTTTTCAATTTACATATTTTGATTTACATGAAATGGACGAGTCTTTCACGATGCGACATCAGATTTTCTGAAACATAAGCCATTAATCTAAATAAAGGAGGTTGAATAAAAATAATGCAGATATAACAGAGTAATTAAGAAAACCCCTTATGGGGCTAGGGGCGAATATATATCAGTGTCCGTTGATCTGTTATCAGAACTTTTTGTCTCATCAAGATGAAATAATTTATAGTCTCGGGATTCGAACCCAAGAATTCATTAATCGCAATGATATGCAAGTGGTAATTTTGAAGGCCAAATTAATTTTTCGTCTTCAGTTTTAAAATACTATATTTTGTTCACAACATTAACACGGTAAAATTAAAACAAGAAAATTGAAAAGCCAAGGGTTATGTCACCTACAGGATTCTTCAAAAGGATGAAAAGAAGAAAATTGAATAAAATTGCTTTGAAGTGTTTTAAATCGTAAATAATCGTGCAAATTCAAATGAAATTTTCATTACAATACCTTGCATGGGCTGCCGTTCTTGACGTATCTGAAGAGTGATTCCGCCATATTTCCAGGGGTCGGGGTTGAACATTCCTCCAAAGCCTTAACGACGCAGGCCGCAAGGTTGTCGAACTTGCCGCATTGTTCCTGTAAATTCGGAAAAACATAATTTTATACGCTGAAAAGTTATTAAAAGAAAGAAACGACGCTACAGATTGGTTGCAATGTATCTATCTAATCAATGGGCCATGAGTCCGATCCCCACCAGGACCAACATTTTTCTAATTAATTCATAATTTGTCTGAACACATGTTGGACTTCGTCTAAACTGGATTGGGTGGAAAGAATATTGAAATTTCGTCCAGGTCACGATCACCGCCCCCAGATGAAACGAACGAATATCACTAGTATTATATGTGAAGTAAATAAAGGTACTTACGTCACGAGTCAACTTCTTGAAAGACTCTAAACTGTTGATTCCTTCCTTGGCCTTGTTTGCGCATTCGCGAATTGCCCCGGATTTCTCTTGGAAACATTCTGGACCTCCTTCAGCGATGAACACTACAGCAAAAGATCATTTATTTAACAAGATCCGGCCACCGATGTAATTTAATAGATCGTTTGATTTCTCCAAACAAAATTTTGAGTACCATGGCAGCAATTCGTGGCTAATTAACGGGCCATAGGTTCGTGTCTATCATGTTTCTAATCTATTTATAATTTTTCTGTAACATTTTGTACGTCGATGTTCGTGGTAGGAATATCGTAATCCGTACGGGCCACGAACCACCGTCCACAAATGAAAAGCCGGTCTAGTTTAATTGCGTGTCAGTTTTAATCTGTGGATTTCCTAATATGCAAAATCAAAATAATCCCTATGCTTGTCTGTCCTACAGTATAAAAAGCCCTTATTATTCACATACATGCAATTCTGTCTCCGTCTTTGTAGCACACGAAGTCAACCAACTGGTCGACGCTCTTCTTCCCATTATCAATGTTTTCACGAATAGCGGTCTCCAGGCATGGGGTTACCCCATCAGCCAATGAGTTGATGCAGGTTTTCAGTTCGGGGGATTTCGCGCAGTACCTGAAATAAATCTCTGCATATTTAGATTCTCCATCTACAGAGTAGGAAGTGCACAGAGGTATGTATATAACTGTTATTAGGTACTTTGTTTCGGCTCTGAAATTATTATTAGTGGATCATATTTTATCTTGTTATTACGGAGCCTAATAGAATGTATTGAGAACTTTTGTTATTTACACCATGAAGGTGGCGCCATCTAGTAGAGAAAATTGTTAATTTCATATGAATAAAGGGAAACCCACAATTTCTTCGTGACACACCGAAGAAATAGGTACACTCCACAGGTATATAGTCACCTATGATAATACTTACTTCTTAAAGACTTCGTCAAGGGCGCCGTTAGGCTTAGCTTCTTCAATTTCTTTCTTAACCGTTTCAATATTGATCAGGCCTTTGATGCAGTCGACAAAGCCCTTGATTGAGTTCTGAAGCAACATTACACCAGAGGTAATATTAATATTTGAAATCTTTAATATTTTGCAGATGATGACACTATATATATTACAAATCTATTATAAATTGACTCGGACAGAACGCGAACCTCTGTCCTACACTTCATCGTCGAATATTTCAACCTTATGACACACGCACCTCTCGCGCAATTTAATTTCAACCTTAACTAACTATTTCTTTAAATCTAAAATTTTCAATTATTAATTATATTTAATATGTGTGGTGTTTTAAGAATACCAAGACTATAATTCTACATATGGCAGTAGCATAGCAATAATCATTAATAATGTCGCAATATTAAGTACGTCAATAGTAAGATCAAAAGGAAATTTTATATTTAAAAACTAACATTCATCCACATAGCTGTGTTAAGTAGTTTCAAAAAATTTTTAAAGTGGGGCATGGGGCGAACCTATTTCTGTGTCCGTTTCACTGACCGGTTTATTACCCAGCTAAACTTCTGTGCCCGACCGAAACAATCAACTGTCCCCCGGGATTCGTACCCAGGACCTCTCACGTTGAACACAATGCTAACATGTTAATAACGTTTTACTTAAATCAAAGCAGGTATATATACCAAGGTAGATTTAAATTTAAAATATACATAGGTACCTCTATATCGTCTGATTTTTCTTCAGCGCCATTCCTCTTGCACGTTTCTTTGATGACTTGTTTGAATTGTTCCCGCTGAGCATCCGTTACAATTAAGTCTGAGAGAACGCCTAGAACCAATTGTATTCGGTAGGTTATAGTTTTAGACACTATTTCTGCGTCTTCTTATACTTATGGAATAATAGATGTCAAAGTCGTAATTGATTTTATTAAACGTGTGGTAGGAATATCGGAAGCGTGAAGATTGAAGCCGCACTTTAGATCTGTTGTTTTCTATGTCTAATTAAGAGAAGTCGATAGCCCATCTTATTTAGAGGATAAATAGCTGGTATATCACTCCCTCATCAAACTACGTCGAAAAAATTTAATTCTAGAGTTGTTATCGTTACAAAAACATCTGAAGATCATCATTACTTTATCAAAGCGAATGACATCGACTCCTATATCTCTAACATTAACGAGAAAGTTGAACTTTTAATCATATCACAATTCGACCTTTAACCTTAACTATCTAATCCAAACAAAAACAATAAAAACAATATTTGTTCTACAAGGTTAATTAGAACAAAGAATTATCCTCGCACACAAATTAGGTGAAACAATGTACCAATCAAACAAAGTGTTGACGAAAAATAATTCATATTAAGGAAAGTACTAGACCACACCACTCTCTTAGTCAATCCAATTCAAACTATGTAAACAAAATCTTTGACAAAACATTGGGGAGATGTGTTATACAAAATTTATTCCCCTAGCGGGGCTAAAAAGAGGGGAAAGGAGTTATATTTTTAAGACTTGTAGACTTCTAGACTTGAAACCGAGTCAAATAAGGTCACTCAAACAAATTTGACTTTATGTGGGGCATTAAATAAACACATGTTTTTAAATGACACTTTAACTGTTTAAAACTCCACATATATTATGCACGGCCCAACGTTTCGGATGCTTTGCAGCGGCTGTGATCAAGGGAGAAAGACAGTGTCTCCCCTGATCGTAGTTAATATAATGTTCAAATAAGTTTAAGATATATATATCACGTTTTAAACCGTTAAAGTGTTTTATTTAAATGTGTACTATTCGCGTAAACTACAGACAGTATTTAGACACATTCACGTTTTAATAATCAATTTACAGACTTGTATTTTACTTTTGCTAAGGCAGCCTAAAAAAGCCTAATAAAAACAGTTAGTTCCAGATAAATTGATAAATGGCCTGCACAGGAAACAGGGGTCCAGACATGCAACATATAGAAGCCGTGACCCATCATATTATGTCAATGCAACGGTCTAAAGCAATTCACACTACGATATAAGGGAGATTCTTTTATCAAATGGAGTGGTAGATAATGGAAATGGAATATGTCTATTGTTTTAATACCTACCCTCATATATAATTTATTATATAAATGTAGTAACTAGGGCTGAGTTTTCATTTAATATCAATAAATGACTTAAGCACTAGGCCTTATCGCTAACGAGCAATCTCTTCCAGGCAACTTAAGATGAAAGATTAAAAAGTTTACGGGAAGACGAAATGTGCAAGGTGGGCGAAACAAAATTTACAGTCTCAAATATAATGTTCAATATATCAAAAATAAAACTTACACACAATTCCAAAACTAATAATATAGTAACAATATTATTAGATAGTGACAATTTATTCAGATATTAATAATTGACAGGTGGGCAAAATACGCCTACCTTTGCTTCTTTTCTGTTTCTTTTTATTGCGTGATAGTCTCCATGACTCAAGTTTTTATGTTTCAAATTTATAAATATTGAAGTGACTTACCAACGGCCAAACAGCTAACAAGAAACACTTTTAAAAACATATTTAGTTCGAATGAAGAAGAGTGTTGATAGGAGCCAAGTTAAAGAAAGACTGGAGCTGATATATTAGACCTCACATTATATTTACTGCTTCTACCGAGTCGACGAACCCTATTCTCAAAGCGTTCGATATAATATATCGTGTGTAATTTTTATTTTGTTTGTTATTGAATAAAGTAGAGTCGCGAGCCCCTGGAAATTTAGTCGACATTCTATAAATAATATTGATACTAATAAACATACCTCTAACAGTTTATAAAATACTTCTTACATTTTTGATGAAATAAAAACAGTTTTTATAGGAAATTATGCATTTATTCATTACTAGCTGAGTCACGCGACTTTGTACGCGTAGAATAATTATTTTAGATATAATTTTTTGGTTTTTCAAACCCCCTGTTCAACTCTATAAATTTGACCTGTTACCCACAACGTCGTCCCGTCATTCTTGTAAGTTAATCTTAAAAGATAGACAAATACTGTCCCGGACTTTTTTTAGATTATTGAAAGAGCGTTCATTATTTCGTACATATTTTTTGGGTATCTTGAACCAGCGTACGCAATGGAAACTCTCAAGGATGAATAATTTTCCCCGTTTTTTCAATATTTCCCGCTGTTTCTTCTCTCCTATTAGTCATGGCTCTATGTTTTATAGCCTATGGCCTTCCTCAATAAATGCTCTAACAGTTCCCGAGATTAGCGCGTTCAAACAATCAAACAAAGAACAAGACTCTTTAGCTTTATATATTAGTATAGATGTAACGTAATACGGAAAAAAATTAATGTATGCAACACAACTTCTTTAAATGGTTGCACATTTTTGTTCCATATTAACACAGGATATAATCTGTTGATCATCATTATTCATTATGTGCATAGTAGGTATTGTTCGTTAATGATCCTGACATATAAAGTATTTCATATGATACGCTTTGAATAAAACTATTTTCAACGGGTTGACAAGACAATTGTACCGTCTATAGTTTACGCGAGTAGTACACATTTAAATAAAACACTTTAACCGTTTAAAACGCGATATACCGGTTAAACTTATTTGAAAATGATTTTTAACTTCGGCCCAACGTTTCGGATGCTTTGCAGCAGCTGTGGTCACGGGGCGACGAAGTATATACATGTATGTGTATTTATATATATGTGTTTTACTTTGACGTTCGATCCGAAACGTTGGGTCATAGTTAAAATAATTTTTACATAAATTTGAACGCGTTTTAAACCGTTAAAAGTGTTGAATTTAAATGTGTACGACTCGCGTAAACTATAAACAGTATCCGACTCGCGGTCTCGCGACAGGAGCGCTCTTTTTCGAGGTAGCGAGGGCGCCCGAAAAAGTCTGGCAAAAAGGCCTTTTTAAAAAAAAAAAAAAAAAGGGGGGCCCCCCCCAAAAGGGGGAAAAAACCCCCCCCTTTTTTTGGAAGATTATTGTGGTAGCCTACAATTGGACGAATTTAATCATGTGAAATGTGGCTTATAAGAAATGTGTTTCCAGGGTGTGAAAAGTGGTGGGTTTTGGATTCTAAACCCGGGTAACGGTATACGTAATAAATACCAAGGTACATTAAATTCCGTTTGCTCGGTAATGAAAATTAGCTTCTTTTGGGACAATAGGCATGCATTGCGCAATTAACCTACACAATAACATAAATCTGTAACCACAAAAACTACGTAATTGTCATTATAAGGCTAAAATATAATATTTAAACTTACGCCATATACCTACTATTATTACTAATACGTCAATCCTGGTAGGAAGTTTCATCAATAAATATGAATGATGAAACTTTGTTAAATTTGTTGTAAACCAAATAAATCGAAAACCAATTAAAAATTATACACTGTTGACACATTTAAAATTACTTTTAAAACACATTCACTCTTATTACAAAACGAAGACTAACTCACAAACCTCGCTTAAACCCTGGTTTATTTGAAATCCTTATTACAAGACGAAGATTTACGTTTGTACTGGACTAACTATGGTTCTAACTTAGATTCATTTTGACCATGGTTTAAGATTAAAACCAAGACTCCGCGGTTCTGGTATAAGCATATTTTTTTGGAATAAGAGCGATTAAGTTTAAAATCGTAAATTAATCTAGGTGATTTTGTTGTAGCAGTTTGACTAATGTGTCGATTCTTATATCGCCACCTCTATACGCCCTGGCACCATATCGAATACGAGAAATCGACCCCCATAGGATTGAGCAGCGATTTCGAACAGTTAACAACTGTATTGTCCAGCATGTGTGACCCTAAGCGTTATATTTCGCGATAATGTTTCAAAGGTGATCGCTCGAATTACTTATTTTTTAATGAAAGGTTAACAACTGCATTGTCAACAAACAAAGTTTCTAAATAGCTTGCAAGCAAATAATTGAATTGTAATATTTCTATCTCTATTCTTTATTTATCAAATAAAACAGGAAAGAAAGAATAAGCACATAAAAGTACAGATATTAAATACGTAATTAAAGGGAGAAAAGCGAAAAAAGGTAAATAAATAATAATTGTCAGTACAAGTAGAATTCTTAAGAAATATGTTTAAGACAACGTTAGAAAGTGAATGCTTTTAATTTGTAATTGATTCCTTACTTAATTGTCAAAATAATTTAATTCTTTTTCCAGGAACATGCAATGATATATAAAACAGGAATATTTCGTTTCGTTTTACATTGGGAAACTAACATCAACCTGTTAAGTACTTAAATCTCATTGTAAATGCAAAAAAAGCCTATGAGAAATAATAAATAGAATAAAGTCTTCTATAAACTTACCTGCCATTAAAAGTTCCGTCTCCCTATATTGACCACGGCCTATTAAGTATGGTCTTTAGTTTACGAAAGTGTACCTACACATGTAATTAAAAAAATTTTAAGGATCTAAAACATGACCATGACTGCTGCAAAGAAAGGGAGATATTAAAATAAGTTAAGTAATATATTTCGCATTCTAAACCGTTAAAAGTTACATAAACACGGTATATTGGGTACAATAAACGAAACATTTAAAAAAATCCATTTGAATTTTAATATAATTTGTTTCAGAATATATCGCAATTGCATCAAAATCTGTTCAGCTGTTTGGAAGTAATAAGCCAATAAATTACTAATGTTTTTAGCCTCTTAGTTGCGTCGTTCTTATTTACTTTAAGATTAACAAAAAACTGGGTAACGTAATCAGTTAATGGCGTTATCCGGCAACACAACGGAAAACTCGACGAATTAAACAGACCATATTCCGTCAATTGACGTATCCTGTATCGATGGTAATGACAATGTAGCTAATAGCCGTCAAGTGGCAATATCTCGGTGATGTATTTTGTTGATATAACACTTTTAACGGTTTAAAACGCGAAGTTTATTAGTTACCTTATTTTAAACGATCTGACGTTTCGAATGCTCTAACAGATGTCATTGACACGGGTAAATAAAAATAAGTTAACTTTTAAATAAAACACTTTAACGGCTTAAAATTAAAACACCATATATTAGTTAAACTTATTTGAAATTTGATAGTCTCCCCGTGACCACGGCTGCTGCAAAGCATCCGAAACGTCGGGCCGATGTTAAAAATCATTTTCAAATAAGTTTAACTAATATATCGCTTAAAGTTTTATAAACACATATCGTTTTGTGACTTCCAGGTCACATTTTTAAGTAATTATTCATTTGGACGCGATTTTAGGGTTCCGTATCCAACGAGTAAATTGGGACCCTTTTAGGTAGATTCAGTAACTTTTCAAATATGTATTAGTATTCAATTTATAATCCTTTCAGAAACAAATAGCAACAATGCACAAGACCCAGGTATAATATAAAACACAATTTCTATCTAAATTGCCTTACTAATGTTCCTTGTTGTGATAAATAAAACAATGACTTGATTACCCCAGGTCAGGTTGTCATATTTTCCATAATAAGCCAGGTAATGTACTAGTATATGTATTTGTTATTAGTTCAGGTCGAAAGCAATAAAACAAAAAAATAACAACAGTTTTTTTTATTTCACAAGATTTTTTTATAATCGTAGCAAGAATTTGGTAATGTTGTTGGCATCTTAGTTGGAGTGTTTCTGAAACAATACACGATTATACATTTAATATACATATTTAAAGACTTATCTAAAATAGTAAAAGTAGGCTGCGGGGTATTATTTTGTGCCCATATCACTGATCCTTTTCAGAGACAAGTATTTAATCAGATTTTGGTAAAAAGGAAAACTTAATTCATAAAGCAACAAGCATTATGTATTTAACATATACTACGGTATTTTCAAGCCCTTTGGGGGCTTGGGCATGGGCCCCCCCCCATAAGCTCCTCTTAAGAAGAGTCGAGCTTCCCAGCTGTGGGCCTGATGAGGGGCGGGTGATATAAGCTGCGTAGTAGTAAAGCTTTATATTTACCCAATCCCTGCAAGGTGTACTGTTGCTTAGGTATTTGTTGAATTCGTCCATCAGTTTGTTGTGCGTTGGAGACGTGCACAGCTCCATGTTTTGAGCTGCGCAAGTGCTGAAGGAGACCAGTCTGTTGCAGAATGCCTGGAAGTTAAATATCTTTTAAATAAACAGGGTTTAACACAGCAGGAATTGAGGAATCGAATCTTAAGTCAACTTTAATTACCATTTAGACCTAAGTTAAAAAGAAAACATTAGTAATGACCTGACGTCGCCCGTTGCCAGCCTATTTAAAAGCCTAAATTTTCAACGCTAATTTTAACGCCTAAAGTTTAATTAGAGTGTAGTTGACGCCACAGATAACACGTGTGTAAAGAACCATTGGTTATATATGGGCCAAACGACCTCAATACATTTCTTGAGACACTTTTATGACTCATGACTTGAGACATTTTTCATGTCATAATAATTTGACTAGACTGTATGCCTTCTACACTCTAGTGCCAATCAGCATAATAGCATAATAGATTAGCGTGTAGCGTTATAGGAGTACGTACCTTCACCGAGAGATGTTTCTGTTCTTCCTCGACGTCAATGCCCTCCCGGAGCTTGTTGACACATTCACCAATGTAACCATCCCTCTCATTAAAACAGTCCCTGCTGCCATCTGTGATATATGCTAGAAGAAGGACCAGATATGTGTATTATTATTTACTGTAATAGTTTGAATCCGCTCGCGTCCAACGTGTTTTTTAAAATAAATTTATGTAATTTTTCTGAAACATGTTGGACTTTGAAGTTTGTACATTAAATGGTTAGGAACATCGAAATTCCAAACAGGTCACAAACCACCGTCTATAGATGAAAAAGCGGTGAAGTATAATCGCGTTTTAGTTTCAGTCTTTGGATTTCGAATATCCAAAACTGTAATAATATATGGCTGTTGTACAAATAAAAAAAAGATGTTAAGTAATGTTCATTTTAGTTCTACATTTGAAGCTACGACATATATGCAATTTCTTATGTTGTTTTGAAGTCAAAGCTACATTCATGTGATAACAATTATCTAAATACAAACGCTAAAATAAACGAACGACTAACATTTTTAACTATGTATCCATTTTAAATACTAACAAATTACTTACAAACTAAATTTTTGGCATTGTCGTTGCATAGGTAGTCCCCGAAGTTGCCTGTAGCCTCTTTGTCAGCAGCAAGATGGTCCCGGCTGCTTGCTGGTAAGCAAGGGTAGACAGCATCAAAGAAAGAAGACACACAACCTTTCAATTCTGGGGCTTTGTCGCAGTACCTAAGACCAAATTAAAAACTTGGGAATTAAGGTCTGCCGGAAAGGTAACTGAAATGGTTTTCGTTTTACTCATTATGAGAGGCACTGACTGTACCTAGATCAGTTATAGGATACGTTCCATTCATCGATTCCTTTACAGGGAAGGAATCGATCTCACCTCTATCTATCGCTTCCCAAAATTAAAACCCAGGAGCTCTCACGCTTAACGCAATGCTAGCCAACACGTATAGTGTTGGCTAGCATTACTATATAGTGTTGGCGAAAAATCCCGGTCACTCACGCCAGTTGAAAACTGTAGAAGAAGGGCGTGTTCTATGAAAGACAATATCCAAACACGCTTACTTTTTGAAGACGTTGTTCAGTGTGTCTGCGGACTTGGCTGCTTTAATTTCAAGCTCCACTGCGACGACATCGACGATGTCATGGAAACAGACGAAGAAGGGCTCCAGGGCAGCCTAAAGATTTATAAATAAAAAAATTATGCGCTGTAATATTGAAATACACATAAGCACATATTATATCTACACTATACACACAAACATAACACAATATATGTATTAGAAAAACGCTTTAGCGAAGTTCATCAACATCTTGAGTCAAAAATCGGGAACGCGTAAGCGCGTTTTTAAAAAGAAATAAATTATTAATTAATTAACGTGTATTCGAGTGAATGATTAGCTTAAGACTAAAGTACATTGGGATTACAAGCTAGATCACCGGCATCCGGTCGATACCATCCGAACGCGATTCTCCTTATGTAAGTTATTGTGTTGCAGTGGCATGTCTGGTCGTATAACTATCTTGGAAACTGAAGTTCCATTGATAAATCTATTTTTCTCTTAACAATGATGATTTATAAAATAAACATATCAATAATCAAAATCAAACACTGTCTGTAGTTCACGCGAGTAGATTTAAATTAAATACTTGAACGGTTTAAAACGCGAAATATTTTAGTTAAACTTATTTGAAAATTATATTAACTACGGCCCGTTAGTCGAATCTGGAAGGACCCGGCCAGTTTCGCTAAATACCAACTACGGTGGCAGCACAGCAGTGACACCCTTGACATTAGAGACACCCTCCATCTTTAATCTCCCCGTGACCATGGCTGCTGCAAAGCATCCAAAACGTCGGGCCTACATTATTTCCACGTGTACCAACTGCTTCAAATGTCAAGTGGTGTTGAACATAATCTGTCCATTGTCACTAACTGTTGTATGTACATATTAGTATGAATACTCACAACTGCTTGTTCTTTCTTGTCTCCAGCACCGTTATCTTCACAGGTGTTACCGATAGCTGTCCTAAAGCGTTCCTTGTCTTCTTCCTTCAGTTTGTACATGTTGGCAAAAGAGCCTAAAATATAAAGCGAAATATTATTTTATATTGTCATTAGTGTCTGCTTCTGTAGCCATACGGTCAACGTTATAAATGTTTGGGATCCAAGGGAAACAAAAATTCGTTCCGTCGGACAGGACACAAAAGCCTGATCAACTATTTTTGTGTAAAAAAACCGGTCAGTGAAGCGGACCCAGAAACGGTATTTCACTTTACTAGTGGCCAACTAAGGATGGAAAGCTTTCTCACACTTCACACAAGGACACATTTGATTAATACATCTAGAACGGTTTAAATTGCGAAATTTATTGGTAAATTTTATAATCATGCACAATTACTTTACAAAGTAATAAATATTGCATATAATATGTTAATTTATAACTACAGATTCTATCAAAATAAATACGGATTTAGTGTTGACAAGTATTGAATAATCTGTACCGTACATTCAATAATCTATACTTACCAACAGCCAACATGGCTACAAGAAGCAATTTCGTCAGCATCTTTAAAATTTGTAGTTCAATCTTTGTTGCGAAATAACTGAAGAATTCACCTTCGAACCAACAATTTATATCATCATTCTAAGCACTTCTTATCAAATCGAAGGCTTATTCTTGTGCGTTCGATTTATACTTTATAGTATCGCACAATATTACGCCAATCGACATTATAAATCTGGAAAATGTTTAAGTAAATTTGTTAAAGTGAAATATCAATTAAGTTAAAAAGAACTCTTCTAACGTGTGCTTTGAACTAATATACAATACTATTACTATTATTTTAAACTTACTTACATTAAATAAAGACTAATTAAAAATATATACAGCAGTAATTTATAGAAATATGTATGAGTTACCTATAAAATATTCGGTACAGTTATCACACTTCAAAAATAAAATCCGTAACCGTAACGCCTCGAGCCGTTCAGAATGGTTTGTATTAAACTCCCTACTGCAACGCACACTAATCGGAATCGTAACGTAATCGCCTCGCCGCGGAACTTGCAATTCCGCGCTTACGGCTCATCGTCCCCGCGCTTACGGCTCATCGTCCCCGCGCTTACGGCTCATCGTCCCCGCGCTTACGTCTCTCCGTCCCCGCGCTTGCGTCCTCCTTGCAGCCAGCGGGCGACGAGGCGTAAGCGCGGTGTCGCCTAGCCGTAGCCGAGTTGACGTACAGGCGCTGCTGATACGCTTACGTTACGTGCGTACGGTAGGTTGACGCCTGGTTGACGGCTAGGCGAAAGGCGTTACGGTTACGATCCCTTTCCGATCCCATATGTGTGCTGAGACCCTAACGGTGGTCGTAATCGCCTCCAAACATATCGGTCCAGAGTACACAAGTGTAAGGCCTGTAGAACTCCTGGGTTCAACTCTCGACCCGCAGTATCTTCTATCTAGATGTAATAACATGTAACGAGGAATAAATCTCTCCGTACCTTCAATTCTGCACACGGACAAAAGTTTTCTATATATGTATTTATTTATTTAACTGTGCCAGCGACTTCGTCCGCGAGAATCATTATTTTGGGCTCTAAACCCTGTCATCTATATAAACTTAAGTTGTTAGCCACGACGTCGATCGCGTCCCTTCCCGTCGTTCTTGCAAGTTACATATCCCCGCGGACTTTTTTTTAAATCATTTAAAGGGGAATCATTCTATTATACACATTTTTTAGGTATCTTGAATCGTTTACGCAGCGTACGCAAATGAAAAATCTCCACCGTTTTGTTCACATTTCCCGCTGTTTCTTCGCTTCTATTAGTCACAGCGTGATGCTGATTTATAGCCTATAGCCTTCCTCGATAAATGCAAATATTTTTTTAATGCGATGAGCGCATTCAAACAAACAAACAAACTCTTCAGCTTTATATATTAGTATAGACAGATAGCAGGTATAAAATTAAGAATAAAAAAAATGGATAACGATGAATAAAAAACAACATAAACAAAACACAATCTAGCGTTTAGTATGTTTATGACTTTAAAAATTCGTAATATGTACCTATTTACTTAATGGAAAACCTGATTTAAACATCTCGAACAGTAATCGTTACGTATTGAAAGATTCTTGAAAACATTATGATTATTTCGGAGAATTTAAATTAATTGATTAATATTACCATTAGTGATATTTCATGAATAATTTTGTATTTATTATTTAAGTTCTTTAATATTGTAGAACGTGCTTTTGTTCTATCGTGAATAGTTACCGCAGGGCATTTGGTGGTAGTTTTTTTATACTATACGCAACTTGACTGTTAGTAAGGATCCCAAATATTGTTTTAAATAAATATAGCCCGTCGTTTTCTATTTGTGAAAGAATTAGTGAAATGGTCATACTTGTTTTTAATATATATAATAACACAAACCACACAGACACCTCCAACCAATTTTTTTTTGTGAATTGCAGTCACCCGTCGCCGTTTGAACTCGCTGGGATTCAGGTATTTATTTCGTTAGTTATGCATCAATATTTGCGTGCGGCGAATGCTGAACTTGAGGAGGACAAACAAGCGTGGGGTTCACATTATAGTACAGTAGGTGAAACACCCTACTATTTTAGGTTTGGATATCCGGAAATCCACAGACTGAAACCGTAACCGAACTTGACGGGTTTTATTTGTGGATGTTGGTACTTGACCAGGATTTTTTAATATCCGGATTTCCAAATGATGTCCTACATGTTTAAAAATGTTGGACCCGGTGGTGATCGAACACGCGGCCCGCTGGTTAATGGCCATTATTTGCCACCATTACGTCCGTCTTAGATTTTTTTTTGGTTTCCGTAACCCTATTTGCTAATTTTTATGCTATCGTTGAAATAACTCGATATAAACAAATAAACACATTTTAAAGCAGAAATTATATTAATTTAATTATCATAGCGGAATTTTTACATATAATTGGGCATTTCTTTTGTCTTATATTTTAATCTTAACGAAAACCAAAATCTCAACTATAAATCTTAATATCGTAACAATACAGATAAATCAATAGTAGTTTACTTCGCTTTTAACAGAGTGGTGGACGCCATAGTCGTTTATTATCAATGGCCACATCCGTATATTTTATTGAACATACGCAATTATATTTGTTACACGTTTAATATACTCATTAGATATGTTTCGCAGTGGCGTGACAAATAACTGATAAACGTTGGAATAATTATTCATAATGTCGTTTGAAATATTATTCCGTGTAATTGTTGTGTTGTGTTGTGTGCAATGTTTAACGGTTGGTGAAAAATATAGTGCTGAGAATGATGACCCCGTGTTGCACTTCTTACCTGCATCATATTTCCACCAAACGACTCCTCCATCCACGCAGAGAAACAAGGATAGCAGTTTCTATTTCAAGTGGCTTCAAGTGAAATAGTTTTTCGAGTGCCTATTCCATATTATACATGGTGTTTTTTTAAATGCGTTTCATTAATCGTGTGTTTCTTCCTTATTAGATGCAATAAGACATATTTTACACTTTTTTATGTATGTACTGTACGATCGTAAAACGATCAGTAAATCGTGAAAAACTATGTCGGTTTTTATACTAGTCAACCGTCGAATACGATGTGGATGCCGGTTCAAGTCCTGTTCGTGTCGTTATTTTTTTTTAATTTATAATCAATTTTCAATGTATATAGTGCCTTCATGTGCAATAACATGTGAAAAATATTAAAGTTTTAAATCTATAGTAAAATTATAAAGCTAAAGAGTTCGTTTGTTTGAACGCGCTAATCTAAGGAACTACAGGTTTGAATTGAAAAAATGTTTCGGGTTAGTGAGAGCATTTAAGTACCCAGGAAGGCTTAGGCTATATGGCATCACGCTGCGACCAATCAGAGCGACGAAATATATGTCAGAGAAAAAGGGAAAGATATATTAATTATCCTTGTGGTTTTCCGTTGCGTTCGCTGCGAAAACGGTTCCAGATACCCAAAAATGAGTATGAAAGAAGAGTTTTTCTTTAAACGATCTAAAATAATGTCCGAGACAGCATCTTTTGAGATTAAATAGGATTAAATTTTTTAATTCGAATCTGTAGGTCCTGAGATTAGCGCGTTCAAACAAACAAACTCTTCAGCTTTATATATTAATATAGATAGCTGCTACCCACGTTGTGGAAATTGTAGATAGAAGTATCAATTATAAAAACTATAGTGATAAATCATCCTTTATTTAAAACGTCCAATAGTATCAATTTATAATAGAGAACGCTACATATGGTTATGGTAACTAGAATATCTTCTATAAGTTATAAGAATTTCAAATATGATTAAATTAGGTAGCTGTTTTTTGATTGGTTGTTTAGTTTCTCGTAGATAATAATGGGTAAGTTGGCGATTTTTCAACGTCAACTACTCTCATCCTAAAGTAATCCCGGTCTAAATACCCGGGCTAAGTGGGGTATTTCTACGTATAAGTATCAAGCTTCTGTCAATCATATTCCCGGAATTCAAATCCAGGACTTGCGCACCGAAATCGTCGGCGTGGAGGCGTTTGCTATGTTACAATTGAAAAATCGCATCTTACATCAAGCTTACTTCGACACTAACTTAAGTATGGCACATATCGAGTGCTAAACGTCCTTTAAAAGGCTTAGGTACAGAGTTCTTAGATCTAACCTATATTTGTGATACTAGCTCAGACGAGGCCGTGATTAGCTGAAAGAGGTTTTATAATTTCGTGATTCGATTCTATATAACACTGGTCTGGTATACATCTGTCTTGATCTGTACAGCATTTTTTTAAATAAAACACTTTAACGGTTTTAAACGCGATATAATAGTTAAACTTCTTTTAAAATGAATTTTTAACTTCGGCCCGACGTTTCAAATAAGTATAACTAATATATCGCGTTTTAAACCGTTAAAGTGTTTCATTTAAATGTGTACTACTCGCGTGAACTATAGACAGTATTTAATACAGCATTTTGTTTTCCTGTTTCATTTATTATCAACAATACTACTATAAACTTTTTAAAATATCACCTAAATATCAGGTATGTTACAACATTAAAAAATGCATTTTTTTTTTTTGTTTTAAGACGATGTAGCTGGTTAGAAAATTAGTGATTAAGTATCTTTACAGCAGGATGTAAATGGTCAAAATACATCAAATTAGTTACATATAATAAGAGCATGGTCTTTTGACAAAATGGATTCGATCAATAAATACGCCACAATATTTGACTGACATAAAAATGGGACTTTTAATTACAATGTTACAGTTTACATGCATTTTTGTCTTAGGCTCGAAATTTCAAATACGACAAAGGAAACTTGGAAGAAATACATTTTATTACGGATTAAGACGCAGTGGATGATACCAAATTAGAAGTGAGGCTATTATTTGTAATATAAATCTAAGCATATAACTTCAAATAAAGCTCATAAAATTCTACTCTACAAATAAACACATTATAAAAATCTAAATCAAACTACAGCATAGTCTTGTTAAACAAGTGTTTTCATTTTAATAATAAATCACAGCTAATTACTTAAGTTACCTAAGTATAAATTATATTATAACCTCTGTGAGGTAGAAATATGACGCCAATACGTAAACAAAATTTTAAAAGCGCCGTCAAGGAACGCGGGAGAATGCCTGTTAAGGCTTTCCAGGTCTATTTTAATGATACAAAAATTAAGTGAAGGAACGCCCGCGATATCTCATTATAAGGTATTAATAATTAAAAAGTCGACATGTCGATTGACATATTGTCGCTCGTCAAATTCAGTATTCGTTGACAGTTTATAGCGCCAATTGTGTAACATACCGTTCGGATATTGGCGTGAGTTTTACTTGTAAAATTTCTGTATGTTTAGATATTGATTAATCTTGTAAGGTTTTTCGTAGAAGTACGTTTTGTAGGTTTTCGTAGCAGCTCGTAGCTTGTATGCTACGGAGAGAAAGGCTATTTTTTGATATGGGATACATTCAGAAAACAACAGTTTTAACAATATTGCTCTGAAGTCTATATTTTGGAAGCCAAAATACCCCACTAAGGATTTGATTAAATATAGATTTTTTTGTCAATTGTTTTTCAAGCTTTTTCGCCTTAGTTTAGATCTATACTAAGTTTAGTAAGGTTTTTTTGATCGTATGTATTCAATTAAATCTTTCAGTTCCTGATGAAAAATAGAACCTAGAATAAAGACTCGTTTCAGTTAGCTAAGTAAATGTTTTGCACTTTATATTATTGTTCTAGTACATTGTATGCGCTGTGATTCCATAGTCCTATAAAGTTATTGTACAAATAATACCACATAGAATTTTTAAAATCACCTTACATATCAAGTTCTTTAAAATCACCTTGAGGTAGTTCTGTAGTTTTTAACACCCAGACTAGAATGCAATGCACCAGCGTTTAAACGTCTAATTAAGTTGTGTTGTTGCCCTATTTTGGCTTTGGACATTATAACCACGGCTAAAATGCAAATTTACACTTTAATATATTTGACACGTAAAAACAAGAACAAAACAGAAAAATATTTAGTTTGGTTGGTTTATTGCAAAATGTCTAAAACAGTAAGATGTAAGTAATTAATACTGGATTACCAAACATGTCGTCTTTATTTAAGAGTACATGCTTACACGAATCTAGAGTAGTTACAACGGCTTCGCTTTACAATTTGACAATTTCTGGTTTGTTCATTAGTGTCGTTCAACACAGTCATCAATTTTATTTACAACCAGTAGAACCTCAAAAATACTTCGGTTTATTGCAATGACTTCTGTTTATTGATTAGAGCGTTCAATAATTTTATCCTCGCCTTGACAGCTTTGTATCTCTGGTACTCCTCTTCTCTTCCCTTCTTGTCGTCTCTCTGCACCTTTCTGCTGTTCTGCATCTCGAAGTTCATTTCGTATTCTTTGATGGTTCGTCGAAGGAGCTATGGAAATAATGTTACGCAAATATTTAAAATCAGATTACATTAGAATAAAAGTTGTATACATTAAAAGCAATGTAATTGAAAGTAGAGCAAGATAGCTATAACGTAAACTAACTACTATTTGTAGTTTACGGGAGTAGATTGAAATAAAACACTTTATCGGTTTCAAACGAGATTGATATTGGTTTAACTTATTTGAAAACTATTTTTATCTTTAGCCCGATTTTTCCCCGTGACCACGGCTGCTGCACGGTGTTATATTTGGTAAAAATACATAGCCATAACAATTTTTGCTAAAAACTTACACATTTCTGCATCTTAGCTTCACTGAGAGCTCGGGCCAAATCCTCAAGACCCAGGAAGTGGAGGCCTTCGTTGGAGGGTGTCTCTTCGCTGGTAGCGGACTTGGCGGAAGATGTGGATGACGGCATCTCCTCCATTATATCCCTGGTAGGGGGAGACTGCAAGGGAGTCTCAGTGGTCTCCTGTAAAAATAAAGAATAGAAAAGTGCTATTACGAAAAATGAGATTGGAAGAATGTTGTTTGAGTATTTCATATAGGATTATCGATTTATATTAATTAATCCTCTATACATAAGCGCCATGATCTATAATGTGAAAAATTATCTTTAAAAATTGTATTATTAAGAATATTTTAAGAACATGTATATATACGTTGGTTTTTGTATGTGTTGCAATGAAGAATTAAATAAATAAATAAATATGAAGTAATTTAACAAAAGCCGAATACAAAATTAGTCCATTCCTATAATTCGTCACATTTATCATCTTATATTAGACAGGTTTTTTTATTTCATTATATATATATATAGTAAAAAACATAGCTTTTCAACTAAGGAAAACCACACACTACTTAAATTTAATATAACTCTTGATTGCTATTCAATATTCTGATCTGGGGAATTGCATATATGTAACGCAGGTGCAATATGAGCGTAGATGAGGAACGACGCGTTCGGCGAGGATCGGAGAAACAAGCTTGATGGACGGAATTTTGGACGAACTCGTTGGTTTAATGGTAGCGTATGGCTAATGATCAACGGGTCGTGGATTCGATCCCACTGGGGCCATCATGTTTGTTTTTTTTTCTGAAGCATGCTGGACTTCATCTGGAAAATTGGATATTAAATGGTGTAGGACTATAGAAATACTGTCCACGTCTCGAACTTCACAGATGAAAAAGCCGTGAAGGTCAATCGCGTGTCTGTTCCTGGATTTACGAATATCCAAAGCCAAAATAGATTTATTGCGCAACTTGGTTAGATGCTATATAAACGGCTTGGGTATATCACCGACTATCGAGTAAACCCTATGCCATGACTTTAACGATAAAGAGAGGACCTCTCTATCATTAAAAAAAAACACTTTTTACAATAGTTTGGTTTAAATGAAAGTTACTCCACAGCTTATAGTTACACATAATAGAGCAGCAGCGACAGCCAATTCAAGTCCCGTCCGTGTCGTCTTTTTTAATTTAAATAGGATTTTAATTTGTGCGTTACCTGTGAGGAGTCCGAAGGTTTCTCCTGTGAATCGCTGGAGCTATCCACGCTTGTAAATAACATGGTCTCGTGTTCGTGGATCGTCGCCAGTTCGCCGTTCGTTCCCATCTGTAAAATGTATTAAAAAATTACCAAAATAACTGCTTTTATCAATTTAAACTGCATTTACCTTATGTTGATAAGACATAACCAATATATATTTTATTATTGTTAGTGCAAGAAGCTCTCTATAACAATTTAAGAACACAACCCTTCTTAAAAAAGAACTAACTTCCTACGTAGGACGGGGCATATTTCTGCACCTTTTGTGTCGGGTCAATTGACTCTTTGGTTGTTGATTATATTATTATGTCTGTAAATACTGTCTGTAGTTTACGTGAGTAGTACACATTTAAATGAAACACTTTAACGGTTTAAAACGCGATATATGTAAGTTAAACTTATTTGAAAATTATTTTAACTACGGCTCGACATTTCGGATGCTGTGGGGGGGGGGGGGGCTTTTTTTTTTTTTTCCCCCTTTTTTTTTTACTATTTAATTTAAACCAGGATTCGAACCCCGGTTTGTGCTCAACAAAAGTGCTTTTCTTGAAGTCCAAGCAGTTTTTGTAAGAAGAGTATATACGAAGACTTACAATATCAGATCTTGACTGTAGGCTCCGTTTGACAGCTCTGTATCGCTCATAGAGGTGTCTCGCTGCACCGCGCTCAGCAGTATTCGCTGCTGGCCTCCCACGTGCTGCTTCAAGGCGTAATAAAGCGCGCTGCACGCAGGCTTTCTCGGCTGCTAATTGCGCTGATGTCCAAGAGGTTTCTGGTATTGCTGCTCTACCGGCAGCTTGACGACAGCCATCAATCCACTGAAATTTTGAACTTATATTTAAAGTAGTAATTTAATTTCGTCGTTTAGTTTCACGGTACAGGTATATTTAAATAAAAGTCAAATTAAGTCCTCAGCGCATTGAAACTCGTTTTATATGGGCTGTTAAAAATGCCCTATTTCGCCTTCTATCACCTATATATATATATATATATATATATATATATAATTTTATATAATATATTTTAATAATTGTTATTAAAAATAATAAAAAAAGGAAAGGGAAGGGATAAGTTAACGAATATATTTCGCGTGTAACCGTTAAAAGTGTTTTATTTAAAACAAAAATACATTTATATAAAATTCTAATTGTGTTCAGTAACATCATTCATATAAAAATATAAACTTTAAAATATTACCTACTTGAACTTAAAGTAGAGATAACAAAATATGTATTACACTTAACAAGTAACACACTTCGACGACTATCAATTTACAACTGATCAAAATAAACCTGTGTTCTTATCGAATGTTATGATGTCATAAACATAAACTTACGGAAATCTATACTAATATTATAAAACCGAAGAGTTTGTTTGTACTCGATAATCTCAAAACTACGGGTAGAAATCGAAAAATTAGTTTCGTGTTGGTTAGAACATTTATCAAAAAAGCCTATTATAGGCTATAAAACATCGTGCTGCGGCTAAAACAACGAAGAGACAGAGAGAAATGTGGAAAAAAGGGAGTTTTTTTTATCTTTATTTCCATTTTTCTATTCGAACCAATAGTTCCTGAGATGCGCTCAAACAAACTCTTCAGCTTTATAAAATAACAATAACAACAGCTATATAAAAATACAATTTAACTATACTTAAAATGTACGTTCGTCAGCTGTTGGATATAAGTATATTTTGTTGATTATACAACAAAATATCAACGAGATTGTGGGCAATATGCCCAAAGTAATTTTAAAATGACACGAATTACACCTACATTGCTGGCAGTATCGGTTTGACCTAACTCAAAATGTGATAATATGGAGCAAGCCAAGGTCTTTCCTGCTGGCAAAATATGGCGTACACGACAATATCTGCAGTTCGTTTGTTTGTGTCACGTTCAGTTAAAATATACTAATATTATAAAAAGTTTGTTTGTTTGTTTCAACGCGCTTATTTCATGATTGGTTCGAATTAAAAAAATATTATTGTGTTAGATAGAGCATTTAACGAAGAAAGCTTTACTATAAAAATTACGCTCGACCAATTTAAAGAAGTGACATTATTATATGTGAAAAAAACTGACAGTAATAATTAAAGTCATCTTTATGGGTTGTCGTTGTGTGCGCAGCAGAGATGGTTTATTCATTAATTAAAATATTCAAATAAAACACTTTAACGGTTTAAATAGCGATATACATCCGTTAAACTTATTTGAAAATTATTTTAACTACGAGTCGACGTTTCGGGTGCTTTGCAGCAGCCGCGGTCAAGGGGAGACTAAAGATGGAGGTTGTTTCCGATGTCAAAGTAAAAACTGCTACGCTAGCACCATCTGTTTCGTCGTAGTTTGTATTTGAAGGTACAAGATATCCATAAAAATATGTATGAAATATTTAATCTTTCTATACTTTGATTATTATTTATCGCTGTGTCTTCTCTCCTATACTTATTACATCTTGCTTTATCGTAAATTGGTCTATAATATGTGACTAGCGCATTTAAAACCGTTAAAGTGTTTTATTTAACTATACAACTTGAGTAAACTACAGACAGTATGTAACCCTCACCTCTTCAATATCCTGTACAATTTCCGTCATCGGCTTGTCGCTTTTCAGCGCTACCTCCAGCCTCTCATCCCTTTCCTTTTGCTGTTTTGCAGCTTGGACCTTAAGCGCGTACTCCACTGGGTCCGATTTGATGCAGCGCTTTTCCGCTTGCAGGCGTCGGAGCGTCTCCAGCATCCGGTTGTATTGGAGATCTGTTATTCGGTCGTTTGGCGAGATCGCGCGGCCATTTTGTGCCTCGAATTCGTTCTCGTATTTGAATATTGTCTTCTTGAGGATCACGATCTGATTAAGAAGATGCACTGTGAAAATTCTTGCCAGATGAAAAGTCGATTCTAACGTTTGAAATATGGAGATGGGACAAGCGTCATGCGCTTAGTTTTTGATCGAAACGAATAATTACGCATATTCGTTTCGATATTAATATAAATTTGTAAAATCATCTTTTTATATAACTAACTGATTCGGGAAACATTATCTTCCCACATATGTTATAAAAATAAGCGATAAACAAAAACGATTAAAAATTGTATATCGTTTGTAAACTTTAATATCATTTACAAAAATCTATTTAGATTAAAAAAAAATAAATAGTCGAATTTGAATATTTGTAATATGTGTGTCTATCATTGGGTTAAAAAAATATTAACGATGACGTGTACACGGTAGCTCAAGTGGCACGAAACACAGTGGATGTCGGTTCAAGACCTGGCGGAGTCTTATTTTTTTTTCAATCTAAATAGATTATTAATTTCGTTTGAACTTACATATGGGTTTCACTACTTATATACATTTTAAGGGTGTGTCATTTTAATTATTTTGAGATAATAAAATAGATTTGCCTTCTAATGTTTATAACACATAATGGTTAAGTACTTAAATCTCATCTGTATGAACTAATAATTAATATTTGAATACATATAAAAAATAAACTTGTTTAAGAGTTTTTACATGTATTAAAACATCGTAAGTTCGAGTTAAACAACTTAAAATGTTTTGCTTACCAACCGTCGATATGAATTATTATTTACATAAAACAATATATTCATTTATAGTATAAAAATAATAGTTATTAAATATATTCGTGATTTTGAAACTGTCGTCAGAGGAATTTCCTTGTTATATAATATAGTAAAATATCGGATAAACTCAATGCGATACCGACTTCGAGGAAAATAAAATCAATCAAATCGGATTCACTTCCATGTTTGCAAAGTGCTCTTAAAGTACACGCGATATCGACATTGTTTCCTAACACACTTCGTCTCAATCTTAATAGATTTCTTTATGCACACCTATTACACATTATAATTATGTATAATGATATTTATCATTCTAACTGTAAATTAAAATGTAAAAATTAAAAAAACCATTTTCCCTATACCAGAGTGCAGAACGGACTTAATTCTGTGTTCGTGCTGCGCTCTGGTCGAAAAACCCTTCCTAACAAAATGCCATAAAGATATATTTATATTATATAATATTATCATTAAGCAATAGTTATTGTTCAAGTTATGAAGATAAAGGTTTTTTGACATAAAATGTGGTCCTCAATACGTCGAAAATAAATGTTTATTAATTTGGATTTGTTTCACATCTGTTTAAAAAAAAATAGGATTAATAAATGTCTTAGTACAACTGCTTGATTATTATTATTACTTTGTCATTTGATGGAGACCGAGGCGAAGGCCGAGTGACTCAGAGACTCCTAGATCAGTCCAATGTCCAAACACAATGTTGAACAGTTCAAACAATTCAATCCCCCACAACCCCCCCCCATCTATAAGAGAACTATCTCTTCCCCTAGTGGGGATTTATAGCAGCAGATATTCCATTCTCAACACCCTAAGGAATGGAACAACATATGGATTGTCAATGCTACTACAAAAATGGAAGCAGAACATTTTACCCTCTTGTTAATCTTCTCGAGTCTTCTGTCGGGACTGGCTTGGGTTCTGCGAGGGGCTACACTACGCTCGTCACGACGAGTGTACTCGACCTCCTCGCGGTGAAAACTATGGGGTCTCTCGATTTCATCGCAAGCTGTTTGAGAATGAGATTACCATTATTTACACACACATTTAATATCAAAGTGGTTAGGTTTATATCGTATTACTAGCTGTGTCCGCAAGAATCGTTATTTTGGGCATCCAAATTCGTTTTTGCAAATCCCTTCATCTTTATAAACTTAAGCTGTTACACACTACGTCGGTCGCGTTCCTTCCCGTCTTAGAAGAATTATCTTAGAAGATAGACATTATCGTCGCGGACTTTTCTTTAGATCATTTAAAGAGGAATCATTATTATACCTTATATAAATATGCAAGATTTTTTGGGTATTTTATGAATGATGAATAATTTTTCACTTTTATCCCTGTATCTTCGCTTGTATTTGTGACCAATACAAAAATCAAAACTAATTTTTCAATTAGCACCCGTAGTTCCTGAGATTAGCGCGTTCAAAATTGCAAACAAACAAACAAACAAACTCTTCAGCTTTATATATTTGTATAGATTATTCTTCTTTCTTTCTTCATTCTCCGACGGATTATACAAATGCTATGTACGTACATTCTGGTTTCTGCTGTACAACGTATTCGAAATGTGGTGGGGTTCCACATCGGGTGTCTTCTTGGTGGTAGTCATTTTCCTTGGGCTGTCGCGGTAGGCGAGGCGCTCGCCGTCGTTTGCCGAACTGTGGTCTGCGTGCGCGAGACAGCCTTTCTGCACGTCGTTCAGACTGGAAGGGAATCATCCTTCATTATCAGCTATAGCCATAGCATCTAATAGTAATTAAAAAAAGAAGATATACGAATATCCAAAGTCAAAATAGGTCGACAGTGTATATGGTTTAGATGTTATATGGCTTGGGGTCTTTCCTGTTCTAAAAAAAGAAGAATAAAGAAAGAAGAAGTGAAAATGTATTCTAAATTCGTGATTGGATTTGTTTAGCAAGAGTAAGAGTAGTTTGAATTGCCTCACCTTTGTGTCTAAATAGTTAAAATGAATTGATTGTTTGAGCATCAATGAAGGACAAACTTAGTCCGAAATAGGGCGACAGCGCATCTTGTTTAGATATTTTATGGCTAATAGGGGTAATACGTTCCATCAAGTGACCGTATTGCACAGTGTTCTCGTTTGTCGACCAATAAAACTGACGTTAGACATTTTGAAATATTTTTGCGACCGCTAATCATTTTTATTATTGTATTGAGTTTGAATTTGGTAGTCCTTCGTAATTTCTTGTAAATATAGTTATTTAAACAAGTCTTTGAGTCACTACTTTCATCTCTTTTTAAATTTAGTTTCTTGATTTTCATTTGCTATGTGACATTCACGATGGTATAATTATTACATTTGATTACCGTGTCCTTCCTCATACTACATTTGAAACATTTTGTGAGACCTGATAATGATGAACCTTTTACAGATCACGTAGATGTTAAATGCTATGTAGGAACAGCTAAGTTGATGGCATTAAGCCAATACGACGTTGCCAAACCTGAATTCACGTGAACTGGCACGAGAAGTGATTTACACGGCTTTTATTTTCACAAAAAAGTTGAAGCTTTTTGCGGTGTTAATGTAAGTACAAGTATTTATTTTATTTTGTATTACTATGCAATGGACCTTATCGTTAACAAGCGATCATTTTTAGCGAAACCCAGCAGTGGCGTAGCTATCGAAGGGCCATGTGGTATAACGCACCAGGCAAAACTAAGGAGGCCCTCTAATTTAAATCAAACACTTTAACGGTTTAAAACGCGATATATTAGTTAAACGTATTTGAAAATGATTTTTAACTTCGGTCCGACGTTTCGGATGCTTTGCAGCAGCCGTGGTCGCGGGGAGACAGCCCTATAGGCCCTCTAATGTAAACTTTGAAAAGAGATAAGCGTAAAAGAAAAGAAGAAAAGTTTTTTTTTGTTTTTAATTAAAGCAAGGAGATAAGTTGAAAAGAAGGAGAAGAAATGGAGGAAGAATGGGAGGAGGAAGTTGATATAATACGTTCTTGTTAGAAAGAGGGGATGAGATCTCTATTCTTTCTTTATGTAGCTTCTCCACATAGCTACGTTACTAAATCCGAGTACACCATTTAGGAAGGTTTCTAATGCTTTGTCATGGACATAAAGGAACATAATTTTTTTTTTTGGGGCGGAAACTATTGTATTATGAGTAAACTCAAAATTTGAATTGTATGGTAGGATAATTTTACTCTTAGTCTATTATGTAGGGGTAAAGTCTTGTGATATGGTAGTAAAATGTAGAAAAGAAGAATCAATGTAAAATATTCAAAACACAGGGACATGTCTCATAAGGAGATCTGTTGTATGTGTCTAAAGTCTAAACGTAAAGCTTAGGTTTGGCTGCTTCAATAAGAAAAGAGCAGTTGGGAGAAAGCTGGAGTTGTATGGTAGAAGACCCACCTCAAGTCGATTGTAATCATGAAGCAGTGGCGGCGGAGGTGGAGGCGGTAGTCTCTCTTCGCTGTGCGGCCTTCTCTCCTTACGCTCATGGGCGCATCCAGAATCGCGGCGTTCGCGCCGCTTACGAGCCTCTCGCTCGCACTCAGGAGCAGCCATATCTTCCCTCTCTCTCTCCCCCTCGCAGCTCTGTGCACGCCACCCGTTTGAAGGTATTACAACGCGACGGTCGCTCGAACAATCGGATGTCTGACCGAAACCCTAACGTATGTTGGATGTGTTAGTGGTTGAAAAGCTTGATATTGTCTGCTAATGATAGACCGTGAGAATGAATGTTTGGTGTCCAGCAATATATTTCTCTCCTCGCGTCAAGCGTCTAAGTGTTCTAGAGTTTATTAAAGCTTTTACAACGCGAAACTATCAAACAAGGTTATTGGGTCCCTAGTCTGCTAACCACAATGATATGTTTACGCGAGAAATACACATTTAAATAAAACACTTTAACGGTTTCAAACGTGGAAGTTAGTATATTTACTAATTAATTTAATTATGGCCCGACGTTTCGGATGCTTTGTAGCAGCCGTGGTCATGGAAGGACTGGGGGTCAAGAATTAGTAAATAAATTTAACTAATAAATCGCGTTTTAAACCGTAAAAAGTGTTTTAAACTAGAGATTAGCGTTTATGACAAACCCGATACTGACATCTTTAACATCTGACAGTCAGTCACACGGATTTTCGGACTTGGGACCCAAGAGTGTCAATTATAAAACCCAATAACCTTGTAGCCAAAGCCAAGCTTGTCGATATCCAAAATATGTAACTACGAAAACAAATTTACCCCTGCAAAGAGTACCTGATCAATTTCCAAAAGTACCATCTTTGCTTGCGATCTAAGTATACCCTCTAAATACCCAATTTCCAAAAGTTACGGCCCGAAATGTGTTTCTGAAATTAAATGATACCGGGAACTGTTGTATGTTATTGTAATTCTGTATTCGATAGCCAATTATGTATACCTGTACTCCAAGTGTGAGATTCTCGCGTTAAACTCGAAAGCGACTAAGTACGATATCGATACTTTTCTTGTTTATCATTATATAGACATGAATCAATATGGAAGCATTAGTTGCTACTAATATTCAAGAAGAATAGATTCTTATAAATAAAAGATATTAACGGTTCACAACGCGATATATATTAGTTAAACTTATTTGAAAATTATGTTAACTACGGCCCGATGTTTTGGATGCTTTGCAGCAGCCGCAGTCGGGCAGACGGTCGGACGGAGATTTCAAATAAATTTTACTAATATATGCTACATTTTAAACCGTTAAAATATTTTATTTAAATGTGTACTACTCGCGTAAACTACAGACGAAGATAGATTCTTCCTTGTTAAAATATCACTTAATATCCAATAAATTATTTAATGTTTCAGTACTGATATTATGGCGTGTTATAATGTAATGTTTTGATACAATGTCGTATAGAAAAAAGCAATAATATAAAAGGTTACAATTAAGGACACAGAATTGCAACAAGAACGTACTTTATTCTATTAAGTCGCTAACGAGTTAACTCGAGAAAAACTCACGGTGTATGTGTCAAATGATACTTACAATGCAGTATCTGGCAGCGCCAACTATTGAATTTATAATCCTGGAAATGTTGTCCCGACTCCGACTTGCCAGGGTCGGTCTCGTGCCCCCCGGGCGAGCCTCCGTATAATCCACAACCAATCACTAAACAACCGGGCTATTGTTTATCCTTTGATGTAAAACAAAATGAAAGAAACAAAACGAAACGGTGCCGCGGCCACGAGCACCGTCTTGACGGACTAAACCACTAAATACAGATTATAAATCGTCAAGCACAGAGGTCTATTTGATGATTTCACAACTTCGCCTCAACATATCGCGGTCCCGGCACATATTGGTACGGCTCGGGCAGTCTTTAGTGTTACTCGTTCGCGATCTACGGCTGCTTCAAGAAATGCGTTGAAACCAGCCTGTAATTTAGCATTGATAGTTCAAGAGGGTGGTGGGGAGCCTTCTAGCTCCTAATTGTCCTAGGAAATCGCTTTTCTCATCGTTCCAGATGAAGCGCGAAGTGACGTAAGTTTTGTGTTCAGTTTTCGTCTATCGTGGATGACATTCTGCTTGGAGATAGTCTGTAAACAAACAATCTTTTAAATAAACAATTATTTAACTATGGTGTAGATTTTAAGCTGTAACAATAGACTACAAGATTCTAATTCTAACAAATGTTGCATACGATGCTATTTATAATTCCAGTATTTTATGGTTATGTTAAGTAAGACGCGACATAAAAAGTCTACCTAAGCTGGAAAAACGCCAAGTTGAAGACTCGCTTTTTCCTAAATGTATTTAATAATACTGGCCTCTTTTCCTAAGCACATCTTACGGGGGGAAGAAAATTGTGTTGTTTTTGTTACACACGAAGCTATTTCTTAAGAATTTGCATGGTTTTGCTTTTATAAAAATTGATTAGCTTAGAAATTCTTGTTTCAGAAATATACATTATATCGTTAGTATTCGACTTGTACTATGTTTACCTTAGTACGTGTCATATTTTATCAGTCATCAAGTATGGAAAAAATATAAGAAATGCTAAGGATATATTTTGTGGGATGAAATTATGTACAAGCAAGTTTCCATTTCAAATTCACAACTGTAAAGCCTCTTTCAAAGTTCTATTTATGTTGAAATGGTAAGTATATTTTACTGTAACGTCCTGTATCCATTACAAAATCGTAGAGACAGTTTGTTTCATAATATGTAATGTATTTTTAAATTTTACACACATCTGTTTTCTAATTTGGAAGTTTTAATCTCTTAAAATCCTTTAGTGACGTAGACATAGATTTTAAGGTATGTATTTTAAAACATTTTTATTATATAAAGTACTTGCTGAGTGGCAAACTAAGCCCATAGAAAACATTAATTAACGCACTATTTTTCTAATTTCTTCGTTACTCTACACACAAAGGAAATTTTTCTATCAAGGCTGCTTGTGTGCTAAACTTATCAAAATTAGATATTATATTGTTTAAGCTGAAGCGACTGAACGATATTAGTCTCATAATCTAACTATATGACCACCTCTAATTAAATGATTAAACATGTTGCCTACCATTGGGCTAAGCGCTAGAGGTCCTGGGTTCGAATTCCGGGGAACCAATATATTGTTTCGGTCGGACAGGGCACTGAAGTCTGGTCAACTAATTGCCTGTTAAATAGCATTAAAATGGATCCAGAAATATATTCGCCCCATGGGTGTAAATGGAAATTTCACATACTTTTTTAAATCATACTACGTTATGTAAACAGTGAAATTGCAAGCATTTGACCCGATTTCTAGAGTTCGCTGATCGACGTGGGCGTGTCTTCAGTGAAGCCTCTGTACAATACACTAGAGATCGGGACAATCTAGAATATTAATGTCTGCGCTAATTAATTTAATTAAAAATGTAATTACATTAGACTTAACCATGTTAACATACTACCAGTTACTTCTAGTCTTTGTTAGGTAATGCAAATTGCCCACTGAACTAATTTGTGAACATACGCTTCTTTTTATTGACTAAAGTACCTGGTAATATTTACAAGCCAAGAGCAAATAAAACAATAGCTATAGAAGATTTTTATTTAAAAAATATAACAAAGTTTACCATTCTTAACAATTTTTTATAGTATTCAAATTATTAGGTAGTAGTAATATTAGGTTTTTAAGAATATTTACCACATTGTACGTATTTATATAGATTTGATAATTATGTAAAAAATATGACAGTATACTTTTTAACGAGTTATAGTTACGATCATAGACTGTCGTTCATTTTAGTTGAAAATTATGTAATATTTGTTCTTATCTACATCATCTAGATGTAGATATAAAATTTCAAGCTACATCACCCTTGAAACAGGCGGAAACAGAAGCTCACTATTTACCGAGCATCAATAGACAAGGACGGAACAACGTCCTTGAGATATAAGCTACACCCTCCATCTCCAGCTTATTGGAAAATAATTTATAATCTATAACTTACCGCAATTAAAACACAGTCGGCGCAGCTTCAAAGGAAATTTGAATATGGAAACAAGGAAATGTAATCACAGTATGGCGTCGCAACAAATATGGCGACGGAAAATGTCCGCTCGCTACCGACTGAAGTGAGTAACTGAAATGTTGGGCGGGCTGCGCCGCGATTCAGTTAGTGATGGTAGGTATCGATATCGATGAGTTCGTATAGGTACTAAAAAGATAAGCTTTAATAACAGTAACTGCATAAAGCTTTTTGTTAAAAAAATATGTAAGATTTATAATATTTACTATAAGAATACCTTTAAATACAGTCTTTCCTTCGCGCAAGTAGTACACATTTAAGTAAAAGGCTAAACGGTTTTAAACGCGAAGCATATGAGTCAAATTTATTTGAACATTGATTAATGTGCTTCTGTCATAAAATAGGCAAATCATTGAAAGAATAAGCAACTCTAATTTTTTATTCTCAAGTCAAAAAATCACGTATTTTCTATTTTAGTTTGTAATAAAACTGTAAATTCTTTGTAATATACTAAAAACAACAACAATTGATTTATTACATCTCTTTTGTCTCTATCTTTATTTTTAGTAGTTATTTCAAAGTATATTAGATAGACATTTCCTCAAATAAGTTGCAGTAAACAAGAAATGTGAATCTGATTTATCAAGACATATTTATCGACATGTGCGTACTTCACTATATTCGTAAACAATGGACAAGCACGTCTACAAAGCCGGCCGGCGCAGCAAGATGAAGATTTTCCTGACCTTACAATGTGCTTTCATTATACCATCTATAATAGTATACGACAGTGTTTATAAATAAATAGTTAAAAGTCTGAAGGAAAGTATCGACTAATTTCTTTATAATAACAGAGGATACAAAGTTATTGATTTCTATGTTATCACGATAAGTTATACACGATTGAAGACGAAATATAATTATTATTTTATTATCAAAAACTAAAATAGATCAATAGCGTATCTAGCTTAGATGTTACATAGTTAGGGTGTTCATATAAACCCCATGCTAGTCTGTCCTCGTTTATGATTTTAAAAAATCATTTTAATATTACACCAAGTTGTAATGCATTTTTATAATGACACTTCTTTAAAGTGCCTAGTAAGATTGGAATGATAAAGAAACAAATTTGTTAAGTGTCTCAGGATTCAATTAAATATAATTGATAATACACATGATTCTAGTGCGCTTTAAGAAATAAAAGTTTGATAACCAAAGGCCGGAATTGTTAGTTTTACCAGTTATTCAGATAAATAATGTTAATAGCTATAAAAACAGGAAACAAATGATAAAGATCGAATCGCAGCGTAACTGAAGGAGGTGACCGTTACATAACTTTTATTACTACAGATCATGTGACTAGATCTTGTTGTTTTGTATGTCCTCTGGATACATAATCGCAACGTTTCTAGAACCTTCAAGAGTATTTATCTTCTAAGATGGAAGAACACTTCAAATTATTTTTATTATGTTACACTTTATGGTAGGTATGTAACACACCTTAGTACCTTTAAGATTTTTTTTTCGCCGTCATAGCTTCTACGTCCTAGGTTCGAATCTCGGGGAAACTAGTAAATTGATTCGGCCCAAAAGTTTGGTCAATAAGTAAGTATTACATATTTAAATAAAACACTTTAACGGTTTAACACGCGATGTATTAGTTAAACTTATTTGAAAATGATTTTTAACTTCGGCCCGACGTTTCGGATGCTTTACAGCAACCGTGGCCACGTCGGGCCGAAGTTAAAAATAATTTTCAAATGAGTTTAACTAATATATCGCGTTTTATACCGTTAAAGTGTTTTATTTAAATGTGTACTACTCGCGTAAACTATAGACAGTATTTAAGTATTACATAACTGAAACAGACATAAATATTTTGCCCTATTGCACATTAGACTTTATATTCTTTCAACACTATCAGTAACATTAGAATTCATACTCGTCAATAAAAACTAATTATGCCTAATTTTAAAACAAACGTTGGAAAAAAACACATGCAGGCTGTATGCAAAATCTTGCTATATTCTCGAGTTTTCCTTCGAGATTAGATTAGAATTATATTTTTATTCAATAGCTGATCATGATAAATTAATTATTGAAATCTTCATAAGTGGATCTTTAGGAATAAAAATTAAAAAGCTTTATATTTAACAGGCGTAAGGCATGCCTGACAGACATAATCACTTTTTTCCATCATCACAACGTCTGTCTATCTACTATAATAAAGTATACAGTATACATGTAGCTGCAATTATAAAAAAGCTGAAAACAAAGCCACCGTTAATAGGGAAAGGTATAAATGGAGAGTAAATTTTAGCGTGAATACAAAACAATCCCAATCAAACATTTGCGGAATTCGGTGTAAATTGAAAAGCGTAGGTAGGTTTAATATCGAGGATTTACGCCTAGTCAAAATAATATATGCCGTTTCATCGGTGTATTGTAAATACGGGCTTTAGCTAGAGTAATTTATATTATGCCGATTGATTGATCTATGTACAACGGAAGTTCAAAGTTATAAACATATAAATACGACAAACACATCAAAAGAACAGACATATCTATATTAATATTTTAGATGAAGACGTCGTAGGTTACTCCTATAGTTTATAAAGCTGAAGAGTTTGTTTGTTTGCAAGTGCTAATCTGAGGAACTACTGGTGGGAACATTATTTTTGCGTTGGTTAGATCATTTATCGAAGAAGGCTATAAAAAGCGCTGCGACTAATATGAGCGGGAAATGTGAAGAAAATGGGGAAAATTATTCAATTGTGTGGGTTTGCGTTGCGCACGCTGCGCAAGCGGTTCAAGATACCCAAAAAAATGTAAAAGAGAAAGATTCCTCTTTAAATGATATAAAACATGTCCCCGACAGTAAACATCTATCTCTTAAGATTAACTTGTAACGACAGGACACAACCGGAAAAGAGGTTTTCAAAATAAAATTTTATTGCCCAAAATAACTATTCTACGCGGACGAAGCCGCTGACTCAGCTAGTATAGTATATATACCATATAAATACTATGAGTATATTTTATAACTTTACGAAAGGAACATGTAAACTCCTTCGTGACTCACGACTTATGTATACCGTGTATGGTGTATCCGTTTAACTTGTTTCCTCAACAAATAATCCTTGATAAAGACAGATGCATATCCCCTTCTCTTTTGTGGATCGATGTGACCTTGACAGTGGGAGAATCTACCCTCGGTTGACTGTTTAAAGTCAGGGTTTGAAATCAATCCATATTAAGCAATAAGTTATATAAATCCTTAAGTTTCGTTTGTATTTTCTTATATAGCCAAAGGGTACACCGCCATGTTTGCTTTACGTCACATTGATTTTACATGCTAAGGTACGTTGCGTAACGAAACGTATATAAAAGCAATTGATTGATAGAAGCATTTGGACTCTTAAGTACACAAATTTAAGCAACACACTTTGGTTTATATTATTAACCATACATCTAAATACAAATTAAATTTGGTTTTTAGAGTA